TAGCCTGCTGCAATGCTACTTGTGTTTCCTGGCCTTACACACAAAATATAAGTACTGTACAGTATAGTCTGAAAGAAGAGCCAAGGGACAAATCAAAGTAAAGTAGAAAAAAATGAAATAGAACAAGAGGTTATGTGGAAGATGTAACCTTATACTTTATGTTCTTTCCTCCACCAGAGTCCTTGGAACAGTTGATGGTCTTTATTACTCAGCAGTTCCTACTGAGTCGTGAAAATTCAAAATGAGTGAACTTCAGCTGAGCTGCCTTTAATGGGCATCTGGATACTTCTGTACAATAGCAGGGCCAACCCAAGGCATTTTGTTGCCTGAAGCAGAATTGCAAATGGTGCCCCTCTCCCTCAAGATGGGTCAAGTTATGATGGCATCCAAGACAGAAAATCCCATAAGCGTTATTCACTGAGAGTAAAACTACAGCAATAAAACTAGCTAACTAAACAAATTGCTGCTCTTTAATGGCACTCAGTATTATCAGCCTGAGGCAGCCAGTTCACTCTGCCTAATAGTAGGAATGGCCCCCTTCCTGTAAGAAGGTATAGTCTGTCATATGCAAACTTTTATCTAATGCATCAAATGAGTTTAAAATCCAAATAAAGTGACGCAAACATCATCTTATTTGGGTAAATGAAGAGGAACTGTTTCCCCTCAGTATTACCTAGCAATTCCAGACAATTCAAAATCAAAATGACAAGCGAATGGTAGCATATGAGATACTCATAATCAAAATGAGAGATACTCATTTTGCCATGTGGTGAGCTGTGAAGCTAATTAGTTTACATAATTTCATTACAGTGTTGCCAAAGTAAATAACCTCTGGCCCACCAGAAAATGACTCAAGTTGATTTTAAAAAAAAACCTTGGACCATGTGCAGATGGAGTCTTGATTTGTGGAAGGAGTGCGATAACGGCTATGAATTGAAATAGGCACTTGTGAATACTGGTTTCCTGTAAATAAAGAAAAATTGAGGGGGTCAGAATACTGCTTCAACAAAGTGACTTAATTTATAGCCCACAATCAAAGAATGGTTTTGTTTCCTCCATTAAAGCTAATGGAATGAAGTCTAGATAGAAGTCCAGTTTTCTAAATGACGGTTTAAAAAGTGTTGTTGTTTTTTAACCTTAAACCATGGCTGTGGTCCTAAAGAGATTTTCTTAGATGTAATGGCCGCTCCACATGGGACTGATTGTCCAAAGGAAATCCAGAACGCAAAATCCTGAAAGTTGCCTTCCATTGCCACAGCTGACACCTATCCCTAGCAGCCCTTGTAGGAAGACAGGAGAAACTGAATTGAATTAATTTGTTGTCTACCTCCTCTGTTTCGTCATTTGCCTCCTTCAGTTTTTATTTTTAATTCGCCTGTTATATTTATTATGTGCTTATAAAATAATTTATATTCTGCCCTCACACAAAATGTCAGGGTGGTGTACAGTGATCTAAAAGACATTAAAAGCAAAACAAAACTATAATCAAAATGGCTGGCTACTCAAGAAAATTATAAACAGCTACATGGGCCTGCCAGCATTAAAAATATGATTTTATTGTTACCGGATTTTATACTAGGGTTGCTATATCTTGAAGTGCAAAAAAGAGGACTGGCTGTGGTCATGGTGTGCAAAGCAGCCCGAGCCCAAAAAATCCCCCCAAACCCAGACATTTCCTTTAAAATGAAAAAATTCGCCCAGATTGGCATGTTGGTTCGCCAAAAGAGGACATGTCCGAGTTTTCCAGGACATATGGCAACCCTATTTTATACTGTAATCCACCCTGGGAACATTACTTCGAAGAAAGACGGGTTTGAAATCAAAACGCACCCACAGAAACCTGTTGATGTTTATTTCTGCTATTAAGATTTTGCCTGCTCACTTTTTAAAGGCAACAAATGAAACACGTGAAGACACTTTTTCAAATATTGATGCTCTGGAATCTTGGGGAAAGAGAAGGGAAAGAAACGGTAAATAAAATATGAGACATTTAAAATAAAACTCAGTAATAGGAAAGAATAAACCATAAATAAATGAACCATTGCAACAGGGCCCATGTCACAGGCTTCATACCAAGGTTTTGGCAGAGTAGAGTTAGCTCTCAAACCCAGAGGAGGCAGTGATGGCTGGTGCCCTTTGGGATTGGTGGGGCAGAGCAATGGTGTTCCTGTTTGTGCTCACTACAAACAAGTTTTCTCTTCAAATTAGACACTGTTTTCATTCAGTTTCGTCAGTAAAGTGTTATTTTTTCTCTGGACATTTGCATTATTTAAGTGACTTTGCTAACAGTGATTACCTTAGCATCATATCTTATTAAGCAAATCGACCCACTGGGCACCTGCAAGATAATTAGTTTCTGACACCTTTCTTCTATCAGAGGACCCAGGTCCAACCCCAGACCTGCAGCAAGATTCTGGGCTCTTATGCCTTCAGATTGAGATAGATGTGATGACATGTGCAATAATTTTGGCCAACCAGATTACTTTTACTGAGAGAAACTATATATCCAAATGAGGTGCCAGAAAAATTATTCCAGAATTTGAAATTATTTTAATTGGATCCAGACAAAGTTAGTCGTTCTTTAGTAACATCAAAATCAGTAGGATTTCATTAATCATGACTAATATGTCCCATTGATTTCAGTGTGACTAAGCTGCAGTCCTAATCCTATTTGCCTGGGAGTAAAGGCCATTGATCTCAGTGGGATTTACATTTAAGTAGACATAGTTAGGATTGCACTCTTAAGTCAGGATCCTATCTTTAGTTTTCCATAATACAGTGGTACCTCGGGTTACATACGCTTCAGGTTACATACGCTTCAGGTTACAGACTCCGCTAACCCAGAAATAGTGCTTCAGGTTAAGAACTTTGCTTCAGGATGAGAACAGAAATTGTGCTCTGGCGGCGCAGCAGCAGCAGGAGGCCCCATTAGCTAAAGTGGTGCTTCAGGTTAAGAACAGTTTCAGGTTAAGTACGGACCTCCGGAACGAATTAAGTACTTAACCTGAGGTACCACTGTAAAAGGAAAGCCTAGGTATTCTTTGAAACATTGCTGGTTTCAGATTTTGTCCTTTGGAAAGACCGCGTGGGGTTGGGGGTGTCACTAACAATTGTAATGGATGAAAAACATAAATATCCTACCAGAGGTATCTTACAGATTATTTAACCTTAGTTAATTGCACTGTATTCAATTTACTATCAGTGTTGCTGTAGGTGGATTTATCAGGTGTGTGTAAAGATGCATCCTAGCAAATCAGGTCAAGCTGACCTGAGCCGCAAGCAAATATGCCCTCAGAAATTCTAATTCTATAATGTCTCACAAGAAATGAAAAAGAAATGAAGCTGATCTGTAGAAAACACAACTTGAAAAAAGGTAATGCACATATTTTTGTAAACTAAGAAATCTTTAATAGAAATACATTTTAAAAAGAAAAAAAATGTGCAATAAACAGATCTTTTGCGTGTCATTCTGAACTTGTGGCAATATAAAGTAAGGAATGTCCTAATGATGACAGAGCATTCCCTGATCACTTCTGCCTGGTAGTCATGGAGGAATCTATATTCCTTGGATTTGTATAATATTGGTATAGACTTATAGGCATGACTAGTTCAGTGCCCTTGGGAGGACTTTTGGACTTATGTTTCAAGAATAGCCCCACCTGTCACAGTGAAAATTGTTTTTTTAAAAACAGGGTGGAAAAATCAAAAGCTGTTTGTGAGATGCTGTGGATGGCCAACACTTCAAACAATAAGAATACAACAAGTATTCACAAGCCCCTGACAACACCTAATGTACAGCCTTCGAAGTGGCAATGAGGAACAGGATGAATTTTCTTTATACAGAGGCCTTGGTTGTGGGTGCAGAAATGTGCCTATGTCACTTAAAGGTAAAAAGAAAAGAAATATTAACACTATTAATAATTTCATATTAAAAGCACCTAAAATTTGGGGCCTGCAAGCTTACAACCTACTAGGCACAACACAAAATTAAAAGGAAGCGGCAGGGGGACAACAAGTAAACGTAGGCAAATAAATGTAAGCAAATATTAGGGTTACATAATTGTTTGTATAATGACCAGCTGGAATGGAGACAGCTCTGTCTGTTGGCCTAAATACACAATATTTTATTTGAGGCACTGATGTGTCCAATAAAATAATGTGTAGCTGGGCCAACAGACAGAGCTGTCTCCATTCCAGCTGGTCATTATTATTATTTTCCCTGCCAATGCCTCAAAATTGCTTTTGGTTAGACTTTTTTTTCTTGCTGCCTCTTTCTTATCTCAGTATGTTACTGCATATCATAGTAATACAACTGCTATTTCAGATCATGTGCTCTGGTTTCTCTTGTGATGCAGCTGCCTAATGTGGTTAAATCCTCCGGCACATGGTGCTTGAACGTTCCCCTGTTGAAAGATGAGATTTTCAAAATGCAGATGAGCTCTTAACTTCATTGTTTTTCAAAATATTCCTGAAGGTTGTACCATGGGCCGGTCTCAAAGGATATATTACTCCAGCAGGACATGGGTGCAGCTAATGGGCTGTGACTTATCTGGTAGTCAGACTGGCAATCTTCTATCAAAGAAGCAGACTGGGCTGCCATGTGGGGCAAGTTTCCCTTCAAATCAGTGTCAGCCTCGATGAAAGAGAGGGCATGGAAAATGGAAAAGAGGCACCTCACTCGTTTGTCTGACCCACTCACCCTGCAATTTCATGGAGTGGGTGCATGTAGTGGACCTGTGAAAAGGTAGCCACATTCAGGGAGGCAGCATTCAAATAAATTAGACAGATACCTGGATAAAACATAACAAAAGGCTCGGAGTTGGCTTTACCTTAATCTTTACTTATGGACAATATGACCCTGCATTTTCAGCATTTTGCCAGCTTTTATTAGCAACCAGGTTATAATAGTTAGATAACTGGAAATCCTTAAGAGGGTGTGACATGGACCACGTTATTAAAAAGTCTGGTACTGATACAAATAATGTGCTCAGGGCCCTACGTGGAAATAGCGGGCATTGGACCTGGTCCTTCTGTGTGCAAATCAGAAGCTCTACCACTGAGCTACAGCTTTCTGCTAATATCTGCTTTGCTATCATTGCTTCTAGGATATTATGCCAGTGTCTGTTTATATGGGTGCCTGCAGCTGACAAGTGTCATGTGAGCCTCATATATGTCTATAGTTTGGACATATAACATTATACAGTCTAGATGTTTTAGACCACAATTTCCACGCCATCATCCCTGGTCGTTGGTCATGCCAGTTGGGGCTGATAAGAGTTCTAGTCAGTGCTATTTTTCTAAAAAAAGAGGTGCCAGAACTCACCATGAATACTTTCCTTGTTCTCTTATGGCGCCCACCTGAGAGGTGCCAAAACTGATTTCTGGCTGAAAAAAAGCCCTAGTTGTAGTCTACCAGAGGGTACAAGGTTGGCTACACCGGTATAGACTTAATATGAAAAATATAAGGTACTTTCTGTACGGTGAACACTCAAAACATACCATGAAGACCTTGGTTAAATCTTCACACAGTTGGGCTCACCATGGGGCTATCAGGGAAGTAAAGGACAACTGGAAGGTGGAGAAGTACAATTTGTGGAGCTCTCAAAATAAAATAAAGGCAGCCACGCAGCAAAGTTGCAGTCATCGTGACCGAAAACGCGCCAGCCCACACCTGCTTTTCATTTTCAGCACAGTGAGTGGGAGAGTTCATCTTGCCTCATCTGTCAATCTTAAAAACGTTTGATGGGGACCTTGATCTGTTCACGCCTGATGCCAAAGATTGTCATCAAAATAATAGAGATGCTGTATTTACGCACCTTTAACGTCATTGTCGTCTATGCTCTTTAACAAAGAACGCGACTGCAGGCAAAGGTTTGAAGAATGATTAACAAAGAAACATCCTTCTTATTCATAATGGCAAATAAATGCTGTAGTCTGGATCCAGTCCGAGTACCTGCTGTTGGGCTCTAAGTTATCCTACAGAACATACTGACTCACTCACTCGTTTGCCTGAGAAGGAACTGGGGCAACAGCAACAACAGAAGGACTTGGGGAAGCATCACATTATCCAAATATTAGTCATCCTCAGAGTAGCCCCACTGAAATGAATGGAGATGACTAACTTAAGTCCATTAAGTTCAATGGGTTATGAGTAGAGTAAGTTCAATGAGTAGAACTTAGTTAGATACAACCTTCTGTTCTGGGTAGACGCAATACTGTACGACAGAAGTGGGGATCTTGAGGGAAGGCACATTTATTGCAAAACATTGTAGCAGATATATCTTCCATATATCATGTGTGTCCAGTCTACTAGGCCTCCCTGCATGGGGCTGGGAACCCAGATTGACTCGGTTCCCCATCCTGATGTATGTATGTATGTATGTATGTAGTCCCCTTCAGACTGGAGCCAATCACACACCTCCTAGACGAGGCACAGGCCTCTGGGGTAAAGCTATCCACTCATTCTCACTGGCTACTTCATGCATTCGGTACCTGCACATGCGGAATGCCTGAAAGGGGCTCATGTTCTGCTGCGCTACAAATTTAGGAGGCAGAAAGTGTAGTCAAACTGAACATAAATAAATAAAAAATGTCGTTTGCCGCCATCCAAAAAAGGCATTAACAGCAGTCAATGGCATGTGAAAGTAATTAGTACAAAAATATGAGGCTAATTAAGTACAGATGTAATGATTTTTGTAATTAGGAAAGAGAGAAAAATTAATACCAACATTAGCTGCCATGACATAAAACTTCAGCATAATAATGGCGACCCAAAGATTCTTCCTTCCAAACGTCAATATTGGAGTCTTAGCTACTCTAGAAGATGAAGATTTAAGATGCCGTAGAATCAAAGAATTGTAGAGTTGGAATTTCATTTTTAACTTCAGTATTAGAGCAGAACTCCTGTGTAAGGAACTGTGCAGTCTTGGATTCAATGATATAACTGCTATTTTTTGTCCACAGACTGTTGATCAATAGAATGAAAAAGCAGACAAGAGATCAACAAAATTATATATATATATATATATATATATATATATATATATATACACACACAAACATACATATTTTTATAACCAATGCAGCTTTCTGACAAGCTGACATACTTCCGAATAAGATCATTCAAAACAAATCACTAATCATTTCTGCTATGTCCATTGCAGAAGCCAGCTTCCACAAAATAATTCTGGGAGTTGCAGTTTGTTAAAGGTGCTTAAGAGATTATAGGAGACCCGTATTCCCCTCCCAGAGCAACAATTCCCAGAGTTCCCTGAGAAGGGCTGTTCAATCATTTGGGGAATATATACTAATGGGTTCTTCGCCCAGAAAATCCAGTCTTAGCACAAAGACATTAGTTTTAATCCCTGCACTATTACCACCACCCCAGGATCTGACAAATTTAACACAACCAAAATGTTCCTTTATTCTAAATACTAGCTAGGCTGTAATTAAGATAAATGGGGCCATGTGTATTTGTCATACATATCCCTGGAGGCTGAAATAAAACAGAAAGGGTGAACATCAGTTTCATTTATTCTTTGGGCTGAAAATCTCTTCCAAAACAGAGCTAAAGAGGCACCAAAAACAAAACAAAAACAAAAAACCCCACCTCCCTACTTAAAGCATATCCAAAGTAATATGTCAATTTTTGTGATCTGTGTCATCCAAAATATTAAACTGTCTCTTGGGTTTGGTAGCTTCTTGCATCAGTTCCTGGAGCTGCCCAACTTGCTCATCTCGTAGGGCATGAAGCTTTTCTTCTGGGAGGTGGGACCCAAAACGAGGGTGACTTGTAGAGTTCTGTGCCTTTGGGTTAGTTTGTTGCGACAGCGTCGCTGCATAGTTCTAAAAAGAAAGAAAAAGAGGAAACACTTCAGTGATTGTGGATTGGACCCACGTTAAGGAAGTTCACTAAGAATGAAAGCTTCTCGCTCTTCTCTTCCCTGAGCCCCCCTAAAAAAACAATCTCTTAAAGGGCAGGGACTCTTTTGAACAACCTGGGAGCTGCTGGAAGGAGGAGGTGATGGGAATTCTTTTCCCTTTTATTTGTAAATAATTTTTTATTTCATTTTAGAATATATACAAAGCTGAGGGAACAATTTTAATAACCAGTGAAAATTAAAACATAAAAAAGCAGAACTATAAAACAGGCACATAAAATAAATACAGTTGCATATGGCTTAGGTAACAAAGTGTGGTCGTGAAAGAAAGCAAGAAAAGCAAGGATAAGAGTTAAATAAATAATGTTAGTGTTATTTGGTTGCCAAGTATAGTTCCAGATTTGTCAGGCTAGTGCTGATGGTTGTCTTGAAAATGATGGTTCTGATGTATATGTAACTAAAGGAATTCATGTAAAAAGTGTCTGAGGGTTCTAGTCCATGTCAAAATATCAGATTCTGTGTAAATTTCTCCATCACGGCTATATTCCAGAGGGAGTAGAACCAGTGTCCAGTGTAAGATTTGGGACTGTTTTTCATTGAGTTGTGATCACTATTCATGCTGTCAAGATCATATATAATGGCAGGAAAATGGGTCTCAGAATCCATAAACCAGATCAACAGGACCCCCAAACAATATAAGAAACAGTAAATATTGATAGTGAAAATAACAATGTAGGTCAATAATATTTTTTTAAAGAATATGAAATGAACTCATACTGTAGTCAAATAACACTGTATAGATGAAAAGCAAAAATTCCCCCTTGAAGCTGAACCTAGAATGAATGTATCAGAGCAACATTGATGAGATCTGTGGATTGTTTCATTACTTTGCCAAAGCCAAAGTAGAAATGAAACTTCTCATGAGGGGAAAATGGGGCCTTAAAGATGCAGGGCTCAAGCAAGCCATTATGGTCCTGCAATTCAGAAATAGCTTTTCAATTTAGCACTGGAAATCCAAGACCATGGATCACCCTAGGTTTGTTGTTGTTTTGTTTTAAATGGCTCTATGCATTTAACATCCTTTCCACACATACAACCTATAGCGTTGCGGTGGTACCAGTCCCACTTGGATTGTCATTCCCAGAGGGTGTTGCTTGGGGAATGTTTTTCAGCACCATCGAACCTGCAATGTGGGGTTCCGCAGGGCTCAATCCTATCCCCCACGTTGCTTAACACCCCGTTAGGTGGGGTTATCCAGAGGTGTTGTCAGCAGTATGCTGATAACACTCAGCTCTATTTCTCCTTTACATCTGCAGGTGAGGCGGTGGACATGCTGGACCAGTGTCTTGCCTCGGTAATGGACTAGATAAGAGCCAACAAATTGAAGCTCAATCCGGGTAAGACTCAGGCACTGTTAGTGGGTGGTTCCCTAGACCTGATGGGTGGGAGATTGCCTGCTCTTGATGGGGTTACACTTCCTCTGAAGGAGCGGGTTTGTAGCTTGGGGGTACTCTTGGATCCTTTGCTGCCACTCGAGGCTCAGGTGGCCTCAGTGGCCCAGAGTGCCTTCCATCAGCTATGTCCCTATCTGGACAGGGATAGCCTAGCCACTGTTGTCTATGCTCTGGTAACCTCAAGGTTAGATTACTGCGAAGTGTTATATGCAGGACTGCCTCTGAAGATGGTTTGGAAACTTCAGCTATTGCAGAATTCAGCAGCCAGGTTGCTCACCAGAGCAAGACATTTTGAGCATATTACACTGATCCCAGTCCGACTGCACTGGCTACCAATTAGTTTCTGGGCCCAATTCAAAGTGCTGGTTTTGACCTATAAAAAGGCTCAGGACCGCAATACCTCAAGGACCGCCTCTTTCCATATGCACCTACCCAGACCCTGAGGTCATCTTCTGAGGCCCTCCTTCATGTGCCTCCTCCTCGAGAGGTCCGGAGGGTGGCAACACGAGAACAGGCCTTCTCTGCAATGGCTCCCCATCTGTGGAATGCTCTCCCCAGGGAAGTTCACCTGGCGCCTTCATTATACACCTTTAGGCACCAGGCAAAAATGCTCCTTTTTAACCAGGCCTTTGGTTGATTTGATTGACATCCTATGCCCTTTTTAAATGTGCTGGGTTGTGGGGGGTTTTTTGGGGGGGATTATTGGGTTCTTTTATTCTGATTACATATTTTGTGGTTTTATATTTTGATTTTGTTCTGTGAACCTCCCTGAGACCTCTGGGTATAGGGCAGTATATAATTCAATAAAAAAAAACAAATAGCTGGCTTTAAAAAAATAAAAATAAACCCTTTAGGTTCCCAAACTGGTCCGTGGACCTCTGTTTTATTTAGATGATCTGCAACGTGTCTATGGATTTGTGGACAAAGACGGGAGATGGCACATTCCTTGCATTAAATATTCATATTGATATTTAATTGCACTTTTACTGGTTCTTTTGTTATATTGCATTTTATTGTGCTATAATTTGAAGTCTGAGGAATTCAAATGGTAATACAATAAAGTACAATATACAGTCAATAAAAGAAGCAATATAAATACGATTGAAAGTCATGCAGGCTTTTGCTCAGCGCATTACAATTGCTACAACAGGCAGAAAAATCATTTAAGTAGTCCGTCAAGTCCCTCAGCAATTTTTCAAGTGGTCCATGAAGGAGAAGAAAGTCTAACAACCACTACTTTTGTACTCCGTGTTTGACGGTCACGATGCCAGCCAATTAAGTTTATTTATAAGTGTGGGGGAGTGTAACATCTTTTGCATTACCTGATATTCTGTCCTCCTATCTTGAGGTCAATTAGGCAAGATCTGACCTTTGTCCGTATTATTCTTTATTTCCTTGGTGATAATTGTGTTCTCTATACAGAAGCAGTTGTGTATTTTGCTCCAGCAACTTCTAATATTAGAGCAGAATTTATTAAGGGGGGTATGTAATGGTGGCATTGAACAGACATGGCGTTATAATTGCAGTATGGCAGGGTCTTCTGTTTATATTCCTGTTTGTTGCCATGGTAGCCATGAAGCGATTGAGATAACGAGGGACTTTTATTTAAAAAGCAGGACTATTTTCACAGATAATTTATCAAAAGTTTGTAATGGTTTTAAAACCCCCCCCCCATATATTTATTTATCTGCTGCTGTTTCCCATGTTGAAAACAGCTTCACACTTCAGGTAGTTAAAACATGATGGGCGGTAGAGAAGCATCACTGTTTATAGAAACCTGTGGTTGGCCATCGGCTGCCAACTACATTTTGGTATGTTCAGTTTGATTCCCGAAGTATTCTATCCAAACCCATTCTGGATCAGTCTTAAATCCCTAGTCATGATGTATATATTTACCAATAAACCCCATTAACTCACACGCAGTTATGCACACTTACGTCCCATTGCTTCTTTATTTTCTATTCTGTGCATGTGTGCGTAACTAACTGTGGTCTGAATTTTGGCTAACTTACTTATACAGTGGTACCTCGGGTTACATACGATGTTAGCATATTTCCGTTCCACCTTAAAAAGGGGACAGGCTGTTGTGAGTCACAGCCTACGTATTTCCTGCTCACAGGAAGTTTCTGTTTCTCTATTGCTTTTGTTCTCTCTCTGTGTCTGAGACACTGAAGCAGGCAGTCATGTTTTTTTCTTTGTTCTGACCAATGCTGAATAAACTTGTAAATATGCTCTCCTGAGTGCATCTTTCGCTGTGCAAAAGTCTGCTGATAGAACGTGCACGAGCTCTGGAATGTGGAAAGCTATTTCCGAAGCTTTGTGTCGCTAATTGACTGATGCTGCGTTATCTACGGGAGGTCGATGGATCGCAACGGAGACGGCTTGGGGGCATGATGGCTTTTGTCTCCCTGGCAGCATCCCAACAACATACGCTTCAGGTTACATACGCTTCAGGTTACAACCTCCACTAACCCAGAAATATTACCTTGGGTTAAGAACTTTGCTTCAGGATGAGAACAGAAATCGTGCTCTGGCGGCGCAGCGGCTGCAGGAGGCCCCATTAGCTAAAGTGGTGCTTAAAGTTAAGAACAGTTTCAGGTTAAGAACAGATCTCCAGAACGAATTAAGTACTTAACCCAAGGTACCACTGTAACTTAAGTATGTGAAGCAGAAGAAGATTATAAAGATACATCCTTCCTATCAATGCAAATAAAAAATACCAGCATACAGACTACAGCAGAGGTCAGGAACCTCAGGCCTGGGGCCAAATGTGGCCATCCAGTTCTTTTTTAGCTGGTCTATGTGACTCTCTTATGGCCACACCGTTTCCCAGCCCTCCTCCACTCCTTTATCCAATGGTTTTGCCTGGCTCTGACCTTGAACAATGATAACGCCTCTTGCATGTCTGGACAGAGAGATTTGAGGGTGGAGTGGATGATGGTTCTATTAATTGCCCCACATTAATTTTGCCAGTGGTATCACCCACCATGGTCATGTGGTTCTCAGGAGCTTGTCCTCAGCCTGAAAATTCTTCCCCATCTTCCCCATCTAATAATAATAATAATAATAATAATAATAGTATTTTTATTATTTATACCCTGCCCATCTGGCTGGGTTTCCCCAGCCACTCTAAGACACCATAAATTTTAAGAATACATTCATCATATACTTTATATAATTGCATGTTCGGTTAATACTTTCTTTTCTATATAATTGCATGCTCGGTTAATACTTGTACCTTTAAGAAATTTTATTAGCAGCTTTCTGTTGATTCTCTTATCTTTTTAACCTAATCATATATCCTGTCAATAGATGCATTCTGAAGCAATTGTTTCAAACGAAGTTATTCCTCTGTAATCTTCATAAGCCTCATTGCCCTTCATCTTACTGATGTATTTTGATAACAGTAAACGCTAGAAACATTACCAGCCCGTCGGGTTAACTTGCTATATTTTCTTTTTTCACTTTTGCAATGGCTACAACTTCACAGCAGCCCACACTCCATAAGAAATTTAAAAGGATGTATTAAGATTTCAAAAGAAACACTTAAGTAGATCAAATTATAGAATCAATTAATGAAGCTAATTTGAACTGACAGTTACTTTGCTTTTCAATTTGAACTCCTGTACCAAGTTACCAACAGCAATTTATCATCAGGTTATTTCAGGCTGCCTTTGTTAGTGAAATGAATCTATTAAACGTATCACGGGGTGAGTGCCCCCCCCCCTTTTGGCAAAGGATGGAATGCTTTTCTGTGTGTTTATTTCCTTTGCTTTTAAGTAAACAAGGACCGTGCTCCATCCACCCACTGTGGATATTTGCCAACCACGTTGATTGTCTCATCACATCTAGACAGTCTTTATCAAACCATGTCACAAGTGTCGTTGTTGATTCCTTGATCCTTAGCAGCATCAGTCAACACCGCATGGGAAACTATGTGGACAAGATTTACTTATGAGAATCAGCAATGAGGCATGATGGGAAGGGGGAGCCTACTTAATACCACTTTCTCATTCAACACAAATAAAGGTATGGAAGAGATGAGCTCCAGTCTCCCTCACTGCTCTTGCCTTGAGAAAATCAAATTACTGTATTGTTTGTGTTTGGATTTCTTAGTGGAAAGAAGTCTAGCCTCCTGCCAAGCTCATGTACTCCATCCTAGTTCCTCTTTGTCCAATGCAGATCATTTTGCTTCCAGTTTTGATTAAATGAGCCCAACAAGTTATGGTTAATCTGCATCATGAGTACAGATAAAATTATCACAAGTACTGCTGTGCCACTTTTCTGGCAGATGGGTAGTTACTGCTTACTAGGAGAGAGATGGGGTGTGGAAATTGCAGGAGGTCAGTGCAGTGCAAATGAATTGGCAGGGACAAAAATAGATGGTCTCATGCCAAGCATTTTGTGCCTCCCGGTAAGTAACAGTGTTCTCCTCCAGTCAAGCCGCTTCTGAAAATTGTGAATAAAATCATAGATGATTTTGAAAATGAGCACCTATGGATTCCATTACTTATGGGAGCCTTTCAGACAACCTAACTCAACTTGACTCCTGCCCATAGGAAACTACAAAAATCAGTACGTATTGGGGAAGTGGGGAAGGTTGCCTGAATCCACCAATACCTCCAAGGAGTCGGGTGGGAAAAAATGTGTGGATCTGCCCAGAAATTCAAGTATCAAATAAATTCTCGTTCCACTGCTTGTAAAGGATTGCTGGTACCTAGAAGGGTTATGATCAAGTTTCTTACTTTCAGTCTTTGAGCAACTGAAGTCAATGACAACTAAGTACTGAAGGAAACTTAGTTCTCAATGTTCCATAGTCAAGAAGTAAACCGGCCAGGTATGAAGCTCTCCAGCCTTAAACAGCAAGAATGGCATCCTTGTAGGCTGGGATGTTCAAAGAAACCAAAAGGGAATCGGATGCTCCCAGTCCATTGAAAAAAAAATGAATCTAGTACTGTACTAATTTGGGGATCCTTTTAAAAATTCAATTGATAGAAAGGCTTGCGCAGTTCAAAGACATGTAGAGCTTTGAAAAACTTCACTTCCGCACTCTGGGTATTTCAAAGTATTCCACATGCTAATGCCAAAGAACACACAGCAGCTGAGTTGTATCTCACCAGAATACTGAACAAATCAGACAGAAAACCCTGTGGGAGTGTTCACCCAAAGAAATAAGCACATGCTTATTGGGTAAAAGAACTTTCCCAAATCATGTGAAAATATTTCCACTGTACAAATCCACAACAAGCACTGGGGAAAAGAATAGGAGAGCTTCCTTTAAAACTTAACTTGGGATCTACTGAAACTGTTTTGACCACCTTGTTTTCAGCTGTAACGTTTAACTGCATGTTTCATGCAAATATGCACACTGTTTTAACGTTGTGTGATGGTCTTTTGCTTGAAAAGGGGAGGAATGTAGAGCACCCCACAGCTTCCTGCAGTCAGGAAGACAATTCCTGCATCTCCTGTGTAAAATCTTGTTTTGCACTGAGTCTTCCTGTTGGTTGGTTGGTTGTTCATACCACACATTTCAATGGATTTCCCCATCACTTTCCTAACTGCAAAAAGATGGTTTCTTTTTTTCCCCAAGTGGGTTTGTTGCACTAGAATATCTGAACTGGGCAAACTTAAATTTATCAGTATGCACTTGGACCCCTCGCTCCTATTCCAGTATGTTTTTAAATGTGCCAAGAAAATACTGTTTCCAAGCCAACACCACTGGTTTCCCAGTTGCCAGATCCAAAATATAAACATTACTGATTCCAGATGGCACTTTCAACTCATAGAATCCATACATTACTTTGACTCGGTATTCAGTCTCGTTCTTGTCAAGAACAAATCTTTTATTTCCACAGAGAACTGCGTTCTGCTTTTACTGTCACAAAGATTCATTGCAGGGAGAGGCCAGATGCATGAGAAATGATCGCAGGGAAGGATATCTAATCAAATTGCAACACTGACTTTTTTTTCAGGACAGTATGAAAAAAATTAATCCTACTGACTACAGAAACCCAATAAGTGTGTAACATTTTTGTTGAAACGTGCACATCTAAGAGATTGCCCCTAAGCAGAGTTTTCCAAATTCTGTCACGACACGTTACGTGTGTCAGCTGCATTGTATAGGTGTGTCGCACAAACACTCCCCATGCTCCTCCCGGGGCTGGAAAGGAGTTAAGTTTAACCTCCAGTTTGCTAGTAAAACTGAATTACTGTGTTGCAAAATGATGCATGTCGATAAAGTGTGTCACCAACATGAACGATTTGCAAAGCTCTGGTCTAAAGTATTCTTAAAGCACTGTATTAAAGAAAAATAGGATTGCCAAATATTTTGAGCTTTGTATAGCATGCCTACCTAGGCATCTGTAGATGTCTGATGCTGGAGGATATGAGCTGCTGTAGCAACTCCTATGTACTCCCTCTTTGGGCTTGCTACCTATCCCTCTGCCTAACTTGCCAAGAGACACAAAGCAGATGAAGAAGAAAGAGACAGATGAATGGACCAGGGAGGGTCCAAGTGGAAGCAGGTGCAGCTATCTCATCTACTGCATCACTGGCTGTATGTCCAGCACCCAGGTTGTTATGTGGCAACCCTACTTATATACCCCAAGGACGGGGAATATGTGACCGTCCAGCTAGTGTTGAACACCAACTCCCTTTAGACCCCCAACCAATGTAGGCAATGGGCAGGGATGATGGGAGTTGTCATCCACATCTGGAGAGATTATCCATCTCTGCCATACACCACGAAATAGCAATTCAAAACACCATTTGCTTTTCCAAGCATCCTGCACTTTCCCAATAGATTTCCCATTGGGGAAGCAAAGCAGCATTCTTCTCCATGTGGTATTTATTTATTATTAGATTTATAGCAAGGAGCCCCACTGAACATTTCAAAGTGAAACACACACAAATTATGCTGTTATATATTGAATATTTCTAATTTCCAACTTAATATACAGGAAACACAATAATGACTACTCGTTAGGAAGAAGCACAGAAGAGCTCAAAAGAGATAAAATGTTATGCAAATGTTAATTCATTTATATGCAGGAGGCCATTCGTCACGCCTGGATTTCAATACGAAGTTGTAAGGTTAAGCCTGCCCCCCTCTCTTTAAGTTTCGAAAAAGGAAAAGCTTTCAAATACTCTTTAAGCTCTTGACAGCAATCAAACAATGTGCGAGCCCTGCCTCCTGAAAAACTATGTAGCTCTGGAAGCTGCAAATAAAGGAGTGTTTAAAATGAATACACCTTCTTAGAAATAAAACAGAAATCTCAGCTTCTTCTCCTCTGCCTCAGCTGCCATAGCAACGTGACTTACTCTCATACAATGAAGCGTTCTCTACCTTTGCAGCCCTGAACCAAGAAAAGTTAAGCACGGTGTGTCATATTAATGAGTTTTGATTCACTTAGATACACCAACATTTTGGTTATAGCCTATAACAAGGGTAGGGGACCTCTGGTCTGCAGCCTAGTCGGCCCAGCACATAAACCATGCCCACCTGCCCCACACACCTCCCCACACCTGACATCAGGTGACACCGGGTGTGGGGCAGGTACGGACACAGCTACAGTTAAATGGAGCTCCTGATTGTTCCTTTGAAAACAGAGCTCCCTGGCAGCGCCGACAGGGAGCCCCTTGGGATTGGCTGCACTAAGAACTTCCCCATCGGGGAACGTGCTTCTTCCAGCACTTTAAACCACTTCCTCTTACTTCAAAGTAAATGTGCATAGGATTGATGGGGTGTTAGGGACTGACTCCAAGCACAGATCCTTGAAAGACTGTGATCAGTCTTTCCACTGTGATCAATGGCGCTTACTTCCAAGGAAACAAATTCTACATAACCCCTTGTGCAAATTAATTGAAACAAACAATGTAGTTTATTGTACAAAACTCACATATACATGTACAAAACTCACATATGCATACATTATTAACCGATATGACCTCTGCTTTTTTAAAGCCGCATTTTAACACGGTTTGGCACCGAGTCTACTAGTTTCAAACAGTCACTGTTGATTTTCGGATCCCTGTACCACACTTGAATCAGCACCTGAATGAGCTTCTCCATAGTCACACAGTCTGCAGCATGGAGGCGACTTTTGCATATAGCCCACAAATTCTCAATGGGATTTATGTCTGGGGAATTCCCTGGCCAATCAAGTACCTGTATTTGCTGCTCTGTCACAAATTTCTTCACCACTTTCAATGTGTGACAGGGGGCTAGGTCCTTCTGCAATATCCCAGTACCATCAGGATACCTCTTTTCCAGCTCTGGAATAACTCTCTTTCGTAGAACCTCAATATATTGTGGCAAGCGCATCATTCCTTCCATTGGCTGCAGGCTTCCGACACCATAATGATCAACTGACTTTTCGTGTTTGTTTTGAGTACAGGATTACAAGTAAGATAGAAAACATGCTTTGTTTCAATTAATTTGCACAGTGGGTATATGTGTGTGCATTTAAAGTGCCTCGGAATGCTGCAGACCTAGTCCTTTGGGTTACTCCTTTATGCACAAGAAATTAGTTACTACTTTTGCTTTTTTCTGTTTTATCTATATATATATCTACTCACACACAGTTGCAGGGAATTAATTTTAGTAATGTATTCACACATCCACAAGCAGAAATATGACTACTGGTTTTTCTTGCGCACAATATCTGCAAAACAATTTTATCTAAAAAGCCAAAGTGTCATCAATTTAGAATTTCATTATCTTCCTGGAGAAATGTTTACCACTACCTCTCTCAGAATTACCTCCTTCGTTCCATTTTCTAAGGAACTGTTTTGATGCAAACAGATGCATACACTGGGGGGGGGGGGAACGTACCTGGTATGTTTATAGAGGCTGGCAGACACTGCAAGGCATACTACACTCTGGAAAGCTTTAATTAACCAATGGGACAGACTAATTAGGAGAAGAGCATGACGACACCAACTGCGGAGCTGACTCTGAACACATTTGATGGGGCAAAAGAACAAAGGCACTAAGCAGAGACCACAAACCAAATTCTAAGCACCTATTCACACAGCAATTAAAACCCATTACACGCTATTATCGGTTTTCCACCAATTAAGCTCACATGCAGTTCTTTGTTATTAATTCAGCTGCTAATGGATTCTATAAAGCAACATCTACAAAATATCTCCCCTGATAGATGCATGTCCAGATCCAAAGAGTTATGCACATAGGAAAATAGCAGCCATGAACCACACATAAATCTAACACATGTATACATAGACTCGGATCAGAAGATGAGAAAGATGGCAAAGGTCAGGATCAGGGAAAACAGGCACAATCCTGGCCCTGGTACAACTTCTAACAAGGGTACATATGACATATCTGTTTCCAGTTCAGAGAGTCCTTTCTACAGGTCAGTGTGAGACGCTGCTGTCACAGACACTGTTAGGTTGGTGGGGAGAAAATCAGGGGAGAGAGGTGGGGGAAGAAAGAAGTGGGCAGTGGTCTTTCATTCTTTTGCTTAGTGTACTTAGAGCCAGTGTGGTGTAGTGGTTAAAAGCGGTAGTCTCGTAATCTGGTGAACAGGGTTCGATTCCCTGCTCCTCCACATGCAGCTGCTGGGTGACCTTGGGCTAGTCACACTTCTTTGAAGTCTCTCAGCCCCACTCACCTCACAGAGTGTTTGTTGTGGGGAAGGAAGGGAAAAGGAGATTGTTAGCCGCTTTGAGACTCCTTGGGGTAGTGATAAAGCGGGATATCAAGTCCAAAATTTTCCTCTTCTTCTTCTTCTTCCTCTATGTGCGGAGTTTTTGCGTCAGTGTTGCGAGGATAGGTTCTTGAATGAAGACCTTGTTCCCCCCCCCCCAAAAAAAAAATCCCAGAGTGGAGCAGTGGGAGGGAACTGGCGGCCATTTAGATGCTGCCAGCACTACAGAGCCCATCATCCCTGACCCCTGGCCATGCTGGCAGTCAGGGTCCAAACACATCTTGAGGAACACGGGTTGCCCTCCCCTGACCAAGTGTAGGCAATCAGGAGTGTTGCATAAACTGCATCAGATGGGGGAGTTGTCTGTGTGATGTTGCTGTGATCTTGCCTTTTGCTACTCACCTTTGTAGCACAGGCGACTCCTCGCTTACAGGAGGGTTACGTTCCGGGTCTCTGCGTGCATGAGTGAAATGCGTGTAAGCGTGCAGCTTCCCGCCCAACAGCTGTTGAGCGGGGTAGTGTGGCAGCAACAAGAGCTCCTGCACACCATTGGGGAGGCCTTGCGAGTCTTTTTTGGCGCACTGGCGTCGTCTTTGGGCTCTGGGGAGGGTCTCCTCGCAAGCCACAAGGACTTCCCAGCCCTCTCCCGCCATTTCAGCTCGGAATTTATGTATTTTTTCCCCAGCGCCACATGCATGCGTGAGTCAACCGCGCATAAGTCGGGGGGGTGTGCCTGTACAAGCTATTTCTGTCAAACACGCAGCGATATAATGCTATTCTTTATCTTAAAAAAAATAAAATGCAAACACGTTCAAACCTATGAATTAAACCCAAAATGAAAAATATCCAACATGGCATCATCTATTTCAAAGTGCCAAGCGAGAGAAAATGTGTTTAATTCTCTATCAAATTAAATATTTATTCTCCGCCAAGGGAACAATTAATGTGTCAATCCATTATGTCTTTCTCTAGTCTAATAAGGAATTGCAGAGTTTTTCTATATGGGTTTTAAAAAAAGAATTAAAAAAAAAGATTTCTCTGTTCCAGTTTGGCAAGAGACAAATTCAAGGACGATAAGGCGATCAATCAGTGCAAGTGACTATTTTCTACCTTACTCTTGGAAGCAGCACGCCTCTGCATACTAGGTGTTGGCCAACCTATGTGCTGTTACTTCCCATAGGCACCTGCTTGGCCATTGTGAGACCAGGCACCTTCATGTATTCATATGGAATAGATCGGACTTCCCACAACTTTGGGTCCCTAAATGCTGTTGGGACTATAATCCCCAACCAGCATGACCAACGTTGAAGAGTGATGGGGGCTGAAGTCCAAAAACAACTGCGGAACTCTATGTTCTTCTCCCATGTTGGAGCCAATGATGGGGAAGTTTGGCTGGATGGATCACTGGTCTAATAATGTCTTCCTCGTCCAAATAATGTTCTTTTTCATCCAAAACATAATCTCGGCATATACTAGGCTTCCTTTCCCATTGACCTCCCTGCCATGCAGTAGTACCATGTTGGGCGTCTGAATTTAATGCAACTGAAGTGAAACTCTATGGTTCAAATTAAATGCTCTCCCGTTACATTTACTTGTCACCAGAAGCAATTGGGAAGGTTTCTGATGCTGCACAGAACACATGAATTCTCTTGAAAAGAGCAATTCAATCACAGTCCTTAATACGGTGGTGAGGAAGAGTGGGGAGCAGCTGTCTCTATGGAATAGTCAAGAGTTATTCTCTCTGTAATAGCTAGACTGCCCTGCTCGGAGATCCTCTTATTTTTTATTTTATTTTTTGCTAAGGTAATGGCTCATAGGGCTACTTCTCTAATAGTCAGGAAACAGCCTGACACCAGAGGAGGAAGTTCAGAAAGAGGTATCTATTAAAGCTTTTAGAACTGCGTTCAGATTCCACAGAGAGCACTCCCTAATCTGAAGACGGCTACGTAAAAGTGACAGCTCTTGAGAACTTGATAGCGCAAGGCAAGGAAGAGAATAGATAGGAGCATCTGAGAAAATGGGATACAGAGCCGACAACTAAATTCTTATACCATCACTGAAACCTAGTTGTGACACTGATTGTGGGGAGGGGGGGAGTCCAATTTTGGCAGAGCGGTTGCCTTTGAATCAGAAGGCTTTTTCTTCCCTAAGCGCTTGCATATTACTAAGACTCTGGTACAGACACAAGAACTGAAGCATTCTCATAAACACATCAGAGGTGAAGGATTGAAGCAACTATCCTTTTAATGCTCGGATAAGAAAATAGTTCGTCTTTGGATCGTAATATGTTTTGCCGGTAGTTTACACCAACTTGGACCCAGACCACTAAATCAGGATCATGCCCCTGCTTAGAGGAAGGATGTTGTATGCCGGTTAGGGGAGGGGGTGATTTCTGACAATTCATCATCATTTATAATAATATCCTGCCCTTCCTTCTGAAGAGGGCACAGGAAAGCAAACACATAAGCAGAAAAAGGATCCAATTAAAAATAAAATAACGTATTTCTTTTATTTAAACTTCAAATATGTCTTCTCCCTGAAAAGCTGCTTCAGAGGGTTGGGCAGGGGGCACCAAAACAGTATTAGAGGTGCTGCAAGGGGGGTGGCTATCAGAGGAAGGAGAATCTGCATAAAAATGGCTCCCTGTCTCTCCAATGGGAGTCCTCCTACTTCCACAGATGGGACACTCTGGATCCCACCTATAGATCACACACCCATGTCCCCAGCTTTGAGTTTTCAAGACCACTAGAATCACTTTTTGCAATAAAATACCATATTTTTTGCACCATAACACTCACTTTTTTCCTCCTAGAAAGTAAGTGGAAATGTCTGTGCGTGTTATGGAGGAAATGGCTACGGGTGGCATGCCTACGGATTTTCCTCCTCTAAAAACTATATGCGTGTTATGGTTGGGTGCGTGTTATAGAGCGAAAAATACGGTATATTAGCTAGGCAGATAGCAATTGTTTTCTTCTAAAGTGCAAGACTTGTCCCATGTCCACATTCACTCCCTTACTGTCTTTATTTTGACCAATGGCATGTGAATCCTTCAGCAATATATCAAGGAAAATTGTACTTAGTGTTCCATCATGCTCACTATGGGGCTGAGAGGAATCATTTTTGAGTTCTAGACTCTTAGTCAAATAGGTGCGTGTGAAAAGAAAAGAAAACTGAACCAAACATCTCTTTTCGTAAATGATACATAAAGTAACTGAACACTGACAGATTATTTTTTTAAAAGAAAAAATGTACCGTATTTTTCGTTCCATAGGACCCTCCGTCCCATAGGACGCACCTACTTTTTTGGGGGGGAAATAAAGGAAAAATTTTTTTCCTTTATTCCCCCCCCAAAACCAGGTCAGGGAACAGTGGGATGGCGGCGCTGCGCCTCCCCGTTGTCCCCTGAGCTTGTGGGGCTGGCCGATGTCTGCCCGGCGTGAGGGGCGCTCTGCTTCAGGGTGCCCCACGCGCCGGGCGGCAGGCTGCAGACACCTGCACGAAGCACGGGGCGTCCTCCGGAGGGCGCCCCATGCTCCGCGCTGCCGGCTGCTGCCCACAAGCCGTGCCCGCTCGGGAGGAGTTCCCCCGGGCGTGCAAAGCTTGCGGACACCTGCGCGAAGCACGGGGCGTCCTCCGGAGGGTGCCCCGTGCTCTGCGCTGCAGGCTGCCACCCGCAAGCCTTGCACTCCTGGGGGGAATTCCCCCCGGTGCGCAAGGCTTGCTGACACCTGCGCGAAGCACGGGGCGTCCTCCGGAGGGCACCCCATGCTCCGCGCTGCAGGCTGCCGCCCGCAAGCCATGCGCGAAGCACGGGGCGTCCTCCGGAGGGCGCCCCGTGCTCCGCGCTGCAGGCTGCCCCCCGCAAGCCTTGCGTGCCCGGGGGAACTCCCCCCGGGTGCGCAAGGCTTGCAGATAGCTTCCTGGAGCCTGGAGAGCAAGAGGTGTCAGTGCGCACCAACGCCTCTCGCTCTCCAGGCTTCAGCGAAAGCCTGCATTCGCCCCATAGGACGCACACACATTTCCCCTTCATTTTTGGAGGGGAAAAAGTGCGTCCTATAGGGCGAAAAATACGGTAATTGGCTAAATTATTTAATTACATTCATTTTGTCTCTCCCTCTCTCTCTGAAACTGCAAATTAAGCAATACAGGTCTGATCCTAAATAAATAAAAAGTTTTCTTCCATGAAGTGTAATGATATAAGCCCAGCTCAAAACTGATTTAAATCAAGAAGACTCATTCCCAAGAGACTAGCTTGGATCATTAGTCTAATAATGGCAAAATCAGAAAAAGGGAGAAGCGATACAAAGGAAATAAATGGTGAAAGTTACCGCAGCAAAATGGAGCCCATGCTGCGTAAAGAAACTTATTGTATCCTAAATATATATTAGGCATGTACACTCAGAGGTGCAACCGAATTTTCCACCATGTCACTGAAATCACAATGAGACCTTTTCATGATGCCTTGGAGCCTTCTCTATCAGAAAGCTTTTTAAAAACATCTCCAAGAGGGAAAATTCTTTCACAGACACACACACACACTAGCACCGTGGTAAAGCTTTGATGGCCATTATTCAGCCTCCGAAGTGCTTAGGAAAAGCCATATGTTGAAACCCTAGCTTTGCTGCTTCCATCCTAATTCCTATTATAATGAACTGTATTCAAATGAAAAGACTGCTGCAGTTACAGTGGTACCTTGGGTTACAGACGCTTCGGGTTACAGACTCCGCTAACCCAGAAATATTACCTTGGGTTAAGAACTTTGCTTCAGGATGAGAGGCCCCATTCGCTAAAGTGGTACCTCAGGTTAAGAACAGTTTCAGGTTAAGAACGGACCTCCAGAACGAATTAAGTTCTTAACCCGAGGCGTCACTGTATAAGGGAAAAAACTATAGTTCAGAGGAAGAACACATGCTTGCATACAGAAGCCTATACTAAGAGCCAACTCATTTATTTATTTATTTTAAAGGGCATCTAAAAATCACAGAAACCAAGAAATGTTGAATTGGAAGGGACCCAAAGAGTCATCTAGTTCAACTCCCTATAATGCAGGAATCACAGCTAAAAGGTATAGGGATGGGCCATAGCTCAGTAGCAGAGCATATGCCTGGCATGCGGAAGGTCTCAGGTTCAATCCCCCGTGTCTCCTGTTAAAAGGATTAAGCAGCACAGAGGTGAGGAACTACAACTTCCACCATCCTTGACCACTGGCCATGTTGGCTGGGGCGGATGGGAGAGGGGAGTCCACAAGCATCTGGATTGCTGCGGGTTCCTCACTCAGCCCTGTGCTACCGGTCAATGCAACAGGTTCTCTGCTCCTGACATCATAGATAATGGGAAAGGCTCTCTGCCTGAGAGAGAGTCCCTGCCGATCTGAGGAGACAACACTGCGCTAGACAGACAGGAAGTCTGATCTGGTCGAAGGCAGATCCCAGTGTTTCCGCGTTTATGGAAGCCTTTGGGTGATGCTGGAACAACAAAGCATCTGGCGATGCTTGCTTTTCAGGTCAAAAGCAGTGCTAATCAACCCCACCGGGCTACGGATCATGATGACAGGCCAGAGCAGCTGTTGCCGTGACCCGCCTTGGCCACATCTGTCCCAGCAACTCACGAGCCCTGTGAAACACCTGGCAAAGACTGTTGGTGCCACCGTGTGGAAAGCTCCAGGAACTGCACACTGATAGGACAATGTCACCACTAAAGACCCATCATTTCATTAGCAGAAACTGGTCAATTGGTTGTGGTGGCATAGCTGCCATTTTAAAAAGCCCACTCTCCTGTTGTTCAGGAGCTGAGGTTGTCATCTCCCAGGGCCGGTCCTAATCTAAGTCCTTTTCTTTAATCTCTAGGGACCTCGGAACACCCACTGCCTTGGGAACAGACCGTAGTTCAGTGGTAAAGCATCTGCCTGGCAAGCAGAATTTCTCAGGTTCAATCCCCAGTGGCATCTGCAGGTAAATCTGGGAAAGACTCCTGCCTGAAACCCTGGAAAGCCACTGCCAGTCAGTGTAGGCACTACTGAGAAAGATGGACCAACAGCATCAAGGCAGCTTCCTATGTTTGTCTAAGGCAGGGCTTCCCAAACTTGGGTCTCCGGCTGTTTTTGGACTAGCTGGAGACCTAAGTTTGGGAAACCCTGGTCTAAGGAAACAGAAAGTGATCGCTCCCGGACCAGGACCACAAGAAAAATTACTCCCATGCCTTTACAGTGTTTTGTTCCCTTGCTTTGACCCCCTGGGCTCTTCAACCTTGGGACCTCAGATGTTATTAGACCAAGGTAAAGGTAAAGGGACCCCTGACCATTAGGTCCAGTCGTGGCCGACTCTGGGGTTGCGGTGCTCATCTCGCTTTATTGGCCAAGGGAGCCGGCGTACAGCTTCCAGGTCATGTGGCCAGCATGACTAAGCCGCTTCTGGCGAACCAGAGCAGCGCACGGAAATGCCGTTTACCTCCCCGCCGTAGTGGTACCTATTTATCTACTTGCACTTTGAGTGTTTTTGAACTGCTAGGTTGGCAGGAGCAGGAACCGAGCAACGGGAGCTCACTGGGTCACGGGGATTCGAACTGCTGACCTCCAATCGGCAAGCCCTAGGCTTTCCTAATGGTCAGGGGTGTTGGGGTTTGCAGCGCAGCAAACACTGACCTTCAACAGGTGGGTCAGGATCTACTTACTTGGGTGTCACAGCCTGATTGCAACAGCAGCACTACAACTATTCATATATATATGGTAAAAATAATAATTAAGTAGTGGCTTCCCAAATGCATCTTTGAGTCAAAGGCAAGTCCTGGATCAGAAAAAGTAGAAGACTACTGCAGTAAAGCATGACGACTGATAGCCTCAATGGCAGGGGAAGCCAATGTGAGAAGGCACACAGATGTTGCTGGACTCCAACTCCCAACAGTCTCAGCTCGAATGGCCACCAGCCAAGGAAGATGGGAGTTGGAGTCCACAACATTTGGAGGGTACCACATTGGTTTCCCCCTGCTATCTTGTCAGATACTCCATCCGCCGATGTAATGCCTCCCTTTTCCCCCCTTCAGGAACCTCTCTTGGGCCTACCTATGATCCAGAAACAAATAAAGTGTTCTCATTTCCATTTCCACATTTTCAGCATTTAGTGCTGAGTAAGAGAGCAAGAATAACATAATTACAACTTGTAGGTGTACAATAAAGTGTCTAAAGATAGCCTCCACGATAAGAGATCTGAGACTATTTTAAAAGGTGGGGATTGTGTAACTTATTGTTTCATAGAAAACCACGGAAATATGTGTCCAGTTTCATAAAATTCTTAGAAACAAAAAGAAACCTGAGCAATGCTTCTTGTCTTTAGTGGGGCTGGTATTTCTTCACTCAGCACAAATCCTGGAGTATATTAAGTAACTCCCAGTTCCTTTTGCAAAGGAAATAATGCATAGAACTAATAATAATGCACATGGACCAATGGACCAGTCAGCATAATTTCTATTAAATATGTAAGTTGAGGTTCTGGCTACAGAATTCCAGGCAGTACACTCACTTTTGCATTATGCCTACTTTAGCCAACTCTATCTTACATAGTGTCTTTTTTCTGCAAAACAATTGAATTTTCAGCCTGGAGTGGTAAGAATCAAAAGTATGCAAGCAAAAAAAAGCAATCTACTTTCTTACCCTGTAAAGCAGTGATGGCCAAACTTGGCCCTCCAGCTGTTTTGGGACTACAATTCCCATCATCCCTGACCACTGGTCCTGTTAGCTAGGGGGGATGGAGTTGTAGTCCCAAAACAGCTGGAGGGCCGAGTTTGGCCATCACTGCTGTAAAGGCTTGCACAGATGAAGAAATGTTGACTAAAAAATCAAGCCAGGGCAGATCACTATAGCAACAACCGCACAGTCTCCCCTTTGAACTTAAAAATGGTGATGCACATTCTTTGGTGATGCACATGTCTTCCAAATCTGCCAAGCTATGGTTTATGAACCACAGTTAACAACCACAATCTAGGGATCAAAAGCAATACTAAACCGTGGCTGGTCAAAAATGGAAGTGAAAGTGGCCATGCCAGAAAAATGGGGAGAAGGGGAAGCACACAAGTCCAAGTCTTGCCTGTGTTCATCTGTCACGATAAACCAGATCCATAGAGAATTAAGTATTACCTTTAATTGTTATCATTAATTTCTCAACAAAACATAGTTATCACACACAGGGCTTTGCATGACTTATGGGCTGCATGACTTATCAACGTTAATTCAGTAACACTCTTGGGTAATAGCCACGATCAAGTCACGCATGCCAACTGCCTCTTTGTAAAGAGTGCCAATTATTTTAATTAAAAAGTAAGCATGTATTATATCGGAAGAAGGATGTGCTAATAATAGATGCCGCTGATTGGATCTACCTGAAGAGCAGTATTTCCTCATAAACAAACAATACTTTGTTTGTACACCTCCCTCTGGTATGAATACTTCCCTGTGGCTTTCAAGATAGGACCCATTAATCTGAAAGCAAGCCTGAAAACATAAAAAATTAGCTGCTAACCAAGACTCCCTGCTATTTCAAAGCTAAAAACAACCACACACCAAAAAAATCAAGGCTGGGAGGAAGGGTATGCAATGTTTTGTGCCCTCTGCGAGTGTTTTTGCCTAGCCAGAATGTGTCTTTGAACTATAAAAATGTCCTTTGCTTGCCTGGCTAGAGAGCAGTGTTCGAAACTCCCATTGTTCTAGGCACATTTTGCGACAGGGAATTTCATTAGCGCAAGCAGTTTCTGAGCTCTGGGCACAGCACTGCGCCTAAGTTTTCAGATTAAAACTGCAGAAGGAAAGGAGGACCTTTTTCTGCCTCCCCACTTCCAGCTACACTCTGAAGACTAGAGAAGAGACCTTCTTAAGAATATTAGCGCGGTGGGAAAGGGAAGGACTTGACCATGTGAAAAATGAACATAATATTTTTGCTGCAGTTCATTCCTTTTCAGCTTTGTATTCTCGTTATAAAAAAAGAGCGCCTAGACATTCCGTTGTTGCACCCATAACCTAGGTTTAAGGTGCCATTTAGCTCCTAGCTTTCATATCTCTGTTTCCAACACTGCTAAACCTCTAACATTCATATGGCAAAACCAAAGGAAACAAAGCACTGGGCTTGGAGATCTGAGTTCAAATCTCACCCACCGCCATAAACTCCCTAGCTGGCCTGGATAAGTTCAACAGGATAAGCAGTGACTAAAAATGAGAAGGAGAAATTGGGGGGGGGGGCCCTAGTTTTCCCTTATTTTTCTGGGTTTCTTTCCAGGACTTTGCGTCTTTAGTAGTGACGTATCTGAAAATGAATAGTGCTCCTATAGCTTTCTGCACACCTGTAGTGGAAAACGCAGAAGGGAAAAAAATCAAAGATGTGTAGGTTTGGCCTTACGCAGCCAACCCTTTCTGTGAGTCCTTGCAGGAGGGAGCACTCCTACCCTTGAGGGTGGCCCAGCTGGGGTTTGACTGCCCAGATTAGGAGCCCTAATCGACACAGGTAGCGGCTGTGGAGACATCCAGCCCCACTTGGTTGAGGCAGGTACAAATAGTGCAGGACAATGTGGTCAAGTAGGAAGAAGATGATGGATCAAATGCTGTTGAGGCTGTCTATGGCTGGATCTGGTGTTGTATGTGGGTGAAGGTCTGATGGGGAATTGTTCCTTTGGGGTTATTTCTCGTTGTAAGAAGGTTTACTGTTTGAAGGGTTTTTATTGTTGCTGTTGTTGGAGGAGGTTTTCCTAGTCCGTTCAAATAAAAATATATTTTCCCTCCTATATTGACTACCAAGTATCCTTTAAGGAACCTCCAGTTCATTGGCAAAACAACACCTAAAGTGTAGATAAATAATAATGTCAGCAGATGCATTTCTAACACAGGAGTATTCAAAAGGCCAGCAGACACTGGCCTGGTTCACATGACACAGTAAGCTTTGTCTACAGCTCGTGGTTAAAGAGGAGGGTGCTTAATAATGAGGCTGGGTTTGGATGAACTAAGCTGGACCTTGGCTTAGCTGCCACATCACAGTCTGCTAAAAGGACTGCCGGCCGGGGTAGCAAAACAAGTGCAACCTCCTCTCTGGGAGCCCCCACGTTTAAGCATTCACACTAAACCATGATTTGGCTTAACTTTATGTGTGAAAAGGGGCAATAAGATATACATGTACAGTGAGTAAGACAGACCCAAATCACATCCCCAAAAACTGAAGCAGGGAAGCAGAAGATGAAAATATACTTGCCTCCCATTCCCGCAGGAAGCATTGAGCCTCTTCAGGACCAACAGATCTGTGTCTCCTGAACTCATCTTTCACATACTGGTCTCCCAGGGTCTTCAACTCCAGTGGCAATGCTCGGTGCAACTGCAGGATCTTCCTGTACAAAGTCCTTACCCGGGATACATGATGGTTTAGGCTGCCTGGCATAACCGCTGAGAAATGCCACCAGGCTAAACAGGACTATGGGGGGTGTTGCTGGTTGCGTCTGGGCCAATGTTTGCTCTGGGGAAATAATTTCAAAGACCAGTAAGTTGGATGAAGGAGAGAGAAGGGGCAGCTTTGTTAAATGCCCGCTGCTGAACTTGAGGGTGAAAGTGTCAAAGGTACAATTAGGGATGGTAGGGGAGAAATTAGATTTGAGTTTGCATTTAAAAGGTAAATCTAAGTTGCACTTTCTGAAAAAACATCCAAACTGAAACGCAGCCATCCTTTTGAAAAACTCTCCGGGCTTTCATACAGGGATCTTTCCCCAGCTCTAACTGGAGATGTGGAAGATTGAACCTGGAAAAAAGCAGATGCTCTCTCACTAAGCCAGGGACCTTTTCATTACTCTGGGAAATGACTTGACTGTTGAACCATTCTGGGAATTGCAGCTCTGTAAGGGGAATAGGAGTCTCCTGATAACTCTCAGCACCTTTGACAAACTACAGTCCCCAGGATTATTGGGGGGAGGGGTCATGGCTGCTTAAAGTAATAGGATACTGCTATCTACTTTCTCTCCAAAATGCTCAGGGTGTCCCCTAGATGCAAGAGGGTCCCCACTTCAGAGTGACGTGGAAACCTGTGTCCAGACTGGAGCACTTCAGGCTGTCAGTCGGGTGGAGAGAGAGAAAGAAGGGGGCTGAAGTGTTTGACTGCTTGTCTCTGCACAAAATTAAAACAAAATCCCCATACACAGAAAGCTAGCATGTTAGGGAGAAGCATCAGGCTGGTTCTCTGTGTATAGGAGGTGTTTTGGCTTTGTTTTTAAGTGAAGGGTTGTTCCAGCTGAAGTTTGTTGAAAGATGTGGAGTGTTGTTAGGGGACCCCTATTCCCCTCTCAGAGCGACAATTCCCAGAGCTCCCTGGGCAGTGGGATTGCTTGTTAAACCACACTGAGAAATATAGCTGAGGGGAATAGAGGCTTCCTAATAACTGTCAGTGCCCTTAACAATCCACATTCCCCAGAATTCTTTGGGGGAGCCCAAGACTGTTTCAAGTGGCACCATAGCGCTTTAAAAGTATGGTGTGAATGTGGCCTAGTACAGACCAGACGCACACATTTTGCTAGAGTCAAACCTTGGTTGTCAAACGTATAGGTTCCTGCACTCAAGCAGAAGCTGCGTCGGACGTTCGGCTTCTGAAAAACATTCGGAAACCAGAGCATTTACTTCTGGATTTTCAGCATTCAGGAGCCAAAACGTTCCAAAACGGAGCCGTTTGGGAACCGAGGTTTGATTGTACTCCACTTGTTGTTCCTGAGAACTAGGTTTTCGTGTGGTCTGAACAGTTCCTCGCAAAACCCTGTGAAATAAGTGCCTTGGTTTGCTGTCACATTTGAGAGGTTTCAGGGTGACAATCCTATATATGTCTCCTCAGAAGTAAGCCCCAGTTTTATTCAAGGGAACTTACTCAGCATAGTTGGTACCAAGTTTGTTCCTGCCAATCAGTGTGGACAGTAGTGAGCTAAACGGACCAATCATCTGGCTCCATATAAGGCAGTTTCCTATGTATAGAATGGGAACTCTAACCACACTTTGGTATATATAATATTTAAGCAGAGTTTGATCAAACAGTGGTGGAAGCTTGTCCTTTGCTCAGTTTTAACTGTAGCTTGGATGGATTAAACCGCAATTAATACCACCCCCTAGTGGAAGGACAGGGGACCTGCAGCTTTCCAGATGTTGCTGGACTACAACTCCCAGCATCCCACACCACTGGCCACGCTGGGAGGGGCTATTGGGACTTTGAGTCCAACATTCACCTGGAGGCCCTTCAGAGAAACCCATGCTTCCCTCTCACTCTACCTGCTGACACCCGGGTCAATGGAAGGCTGTGATCCTGCACACCCCCAGTGGGACTTACTCCCAAGCAAGCGTGCGGCAGATGGCTGCGTAACGAGGGGCGGCCGATTCACGAGTGAGCCCCAGGGATCACGGTGGGGCTTACTCCTGAGCAAACGTATCGAAAACCACGAGTAGGCTGCGGGAGAGCGGGTTTCCAAGGAGTCCCTGGAGCAGCAGACTGAACTGTGGGGCGCTTACTCCGGATCAGACGCCGCTATGGACACCAAACGGCGGGGATCCAGAAGACATCGGAAGGCGTGCAGCCGGGAAGGGGGGGGGGAGCAATCCTAAAACGCGCGCAAGGAAAGGACGGGCGTCGCAGACTCGCAGCCCCAGATCCTGAGGCCGCCGGGTCTGGGAAGGCGACGTCGGGGGGATCCCGGGGCCGCGAGCTCGTTACCCGCAAGGCGCTTCCCAAGGGCAGGCCGGAGAGGGAGCAGCCGGGTCGGGTGGCTCGGAGCCGGCGCAGTGAAGCTGTAGCACCGGGGGGCGGCATCGCGCCTTAGCTCCGCCTCGGAGGAGGGCAGGGCTAAGCAGGACGTCTCCGCCCTCTGCGTTGCGCTTTGAGGGACAGAGGTGGTGGGGAGACCGAGGGAGCTGTGGGTAAGTTTCTTTTTTTAAAGAGAGAAGGACCCATCCTAAAGCTCTGTGCCGCGCTGGGTATCAGGACGCTTGCACCTTATTGCGTTCCCCAAAGGGCAGCATCCGCTCACGCCTGCAAGAGGGAGGAGCCAGGCTTTGTTGCGCCCTAGGCAAGGTTAACTACTTGTGCTCATGTTGTTTGTTGTTTAGTCGGGTCCGACTCTTCGTGACCCCAAGGACCAGAGCACGCCAGGCACTCCTGTCTTCCACTGCCTCCCGCAGTTTGGTCAAACTCATGCTAGTAGCTTCGAGAACACTGTCCAACCATCTCGTCCTCTGTCGTCCCCTTCTCCTTGTGCCCCATCTTTCCCAACATCAGGGTCTTTTCTCTTCTCATGAGGTGGCCAAAGTATTGGAGCCTCAGCTTCACGATCTGTCCTTCCAGTGAGCACTCATGGCTGATTTCCTTCGGAATGCATAGGTTTGATCTTCTTGCAGTCCATGGGACTCTCAAGAGTCTCCTCCAGCACCATAATTCAAAAGCATCAATTCTTCGGCGATCAGCCTTCTTTATGGTCCAGCTCTCACTTCCATACATCACTACTGGGAAAACCATAGCTTTAATAATGTTGTTGTTGTTTAGTCGTTTAGTCGTGTCCGACTCTTCGTGACCCCATGGACCAGAGCACGCCAGGCACTTCTGTCCTCCATTGCCTCCCGCAGTTTGAACAAACTCATGCTGGTAGCTTCAAGAACACCATCCAACCATCTCATCCTCTGTCATCCCCTTCTCCTTGTGCCCTCCATCTTTCCCAACATCAGGGTCTTTTCCAGGGAGTCTTCTCTTCTCATGAGGTGGCCAAAGTATTGGAGCCTCAGCTTCACGATCTGTCCTTCCAGTGAGCACTCAGGGCTGATTTCCTTAAGAATGGAGAGGTTTGATCTTCTTGCAGTCCATGGGACTCTCAAGAGTCTCCTCCAGCACCATAATTCAAAAGCATCAATTCTTCGGCGATCAGCCTTCTTTATGGTCCAGCTCTCACTTCCATACATCACTACTGGGAAAACCATAGCTTTTACTATACGGACCTTTGTTGGCAAGGTGATGTCTCTACTTTTAAGATGCTGTCTAGGTTTGTCATTGCTTTTCTCCCAAGAAGCAGGCGTCTTTTAATTTCGTGGCTGCTGTCACCATCTGCAGTGATCATGGAGCCCAAGAAAGTAAAATCTCTCACTGCCTCCATTTCTTCCCCTTCTATTTGCCAGAAGGTGATGGGACCAGTGGCCATGATCTTCGTTTTTTTGATGTTGAGCTTCAGACCATATTTTGCGCTCTCCTCTTTCACCCTCAATAAAAGGTTCTTTAATTCCTCCTCACTTTCTGTTCATCTTGGGTGCCCTGCTCGGCATAGTTCATAGCTTCTCTGAGTTATTCAAGCCCCTTCGCCACGGCAAGGCAGTGATCCATGAAGGGGTTTAATAATGTACACACACCCAAAATTGCTATTCATTTAAACAACCTTAAATCAATGATCTCTTCTTCCCTTTCCGTGGTTCATTCTGCATACCATACATCCATGCATATTTTACATGAACTAAACCATTCAGTAATCCATTGTTAACAACATCAAAACTTATTTACACTGTTGAATTTATCTTAATGCTAGCTTCAGTTTTCGAGATTGGATGTAGAAAAAAATGAAGAGCATAAAACTTGGAACTGCTAAATTCCAAGAGCAAGTATTTAAATGGCAAGAGCAAGTAATATAGCCCTCTTTGATTATCTTTCTCAAATACAAAAGAAAACATTTTTAGCACCCAAAATGATTTTGGATAACCTTGTGAATTCTGGTGTTCAAATAAAAGTCTCTTAAAAGTTTCAAGTTCAGGCACATCAAAATCTCACTTAGTGTGTGTTTTCCATTGCAAATTTTGTCACCAATTCCTTCAGGTCAAGTGTCGATGCTTGGGGATGTTCAGTTGATAAGAGTTGATAAGCCAACTGGTCTCTTTTGCGTTGAGCTTATGTAAGTTTTTATAAGAAACTGTGTTCAAAATATGAAATAAAAGTAAAATATCAGAAATTTATAGATATAACAAAAACGCATATGTATAAAGCTGCCCCTCAAATGTCACTATTTACATCCCTCTGAGGACCTGGTATGCTGGCTGACAGGCGGGGGAATGGAGTGCCATTAAGGGGCATGGCCGGCTGAACAGAAGCAAGCCACACTGCAGGTGCATGCCTTTTAAATGAACAACGTCCTCCAAATAATCCTAGGAACTCTCATTTACCCCTCACAGAACTACAGTTCCTAGCACCTACAGTCCCCAGGATTCTTTGGGAGAAAGACATGTGCTTTAAATATGCTGCAGGTCCAATTTGTAAATCTTTAAAAACAAAAACTTCTGCTGCAATCCTGTATCAGTTTGCCTGGAAATAAGTACCAATGAAAGTGAGGCCGTATCAGCCTGCCCATGTATTAAGATAAGCAGGGGAGATCCTACATGCAATCCTACCACCAAATGAACTTTGGGGTTAGTGGGGGCGCATGACAGGGCCTTCTCTGTGGTTGCCCCCAGTCTATGGAATGCTCTCCCTGCCAAGGTGTGCCTCACACTGACATGTTATGCTTTTTTTGTCAGCAGATAAAAACACACATTTTTGCCCTGCGGGGAAGGATGGGGTTGTGGCAATATATGCTCCTTCTGCACAATGTTGTTCTGGTCACATTTCCATTTATCTAGATAATTTAGATTCAGATATCCCAAATAAAAAAAGAGAATATTCTTATATGCTACATCTGCAGCAAGAATGTTAATAGCTAGAAACTGGAAAAGTGAATTAGTACCAACAAAAACGGAATGTAAGGGTAAATTATTTGAATATCTCAAATTGGCAAAAATGACGGAGAAAATTAGGAGACAGCCTAACCAAAATTTCCAAAAGTAATGGAAAATTTATAGAGATTACCGTACTTAAAAAAAACAGTGCACCCATGTCAAAACCTGGATTTGCTTTGATTAATTTTCGCAAACCTTAATATGGATTATAAGTATAGTATGTGGAAAACAGTAGAAATGATGAAATGATAAAAGAAGCAATTTAACAAATAGACAAAACAGACCCGCTTTGAGGAAGACGGAAGTCTATCAGAGAAGAAAAGGAATTGGGAATAAAGATTATGGTGACATAATGCTGTGTGTAAGAATTTATAGTTTTATGGTTCTATGTTTTGTTTTTGTTTTTTTGTTGTTGTCATTTTATTATTGTTACTTTATTGTATGTATTTGTTTATCAAGTAAGAAAACTAATAAAACGCATGAAAAAAACACATTTCCATTTATCTAACTTGCATATCGCTTTTATATTTCAACAGAAATCACTCATAACATTTTATGATGCTGTGTATTTTAGATCTGATATGAAATTGTTTTATTTATGGATGTACTTCCACCTTCTATTTGGGGAAAAGCGTATTTTAAATGTTGCAAGGAAATTTAATTGCTATCAATTGCCACATCTTGAGGCAGTGAGTTCCGTAAATTAATGAGGCAATGTATGAAGTATTCCTGCATCTGCCCCCCACATCATTTCATGGACCCTCTTCCCTTCACACACACACACACACACACTTTTTTTAACAAAAGAAAACTGAATTCTGCACTTAGTTATTTGAATTCTCTGTGTTCCACTTACTCCAGCAATGCAACACTCATCTCCACTGAGTGGAGAGATGCAGGATAATAATTTTGTCCATTTCACTTTGCATCTTTTGAAATGGACAGAAATGAGCAAGGGAATATCCTCTCCTCCCTAAAAGCTCTATCTTCCCTCTACCTGGCACATGGGATTGGATATGTAAGAAGGGATGGTGAAACATTTGCACAAAGCAGCAGGGTGAAGTTGGGTACACTACATAAGCTTAAAACCACCATCATGAGACATTTGGTCATTTATGGTGCCAGCAGTATACTTCTATTCTACCTGTACAATTCATTTCCCATTTTGACATGTGACTTTTAATCACATGCTAACTAGGTAATGTTTTGCAAGAGCACGAGAGCACTGTGTGTTTAGTACAAACACGGTGTTTTATCTGGCAACATCAGAGGGCGTAACCTGAATTTGAAGTTTCTCTGCATCAGATTCTCGCTCTAAGCCCTTTGCATGGATCAGTGTGACAATGTTGGCCACACAGAAGGAGGCCTGAGATAGATAGATGATAGATAGATAGATAGATAGATAGATAGATGATAGATAGATAGATAGATGGACAGACAGTTTGAATGAGATCTCTTGGCACACCAAGATTACGTCCTGCTGTCACTTGGGGGCAGCAGAATGTCTTGACCCAGATTTATGAAGAACGTGACACATGAAAAACCCTCTTCTGTTATTTTGAAGACTTACCAGCCGTCCTCTCTTTTTCCCCGCTCAGACCCTTCATGTCCAGCTTCTGTACAAGGCTTGCACTGTATAGTACCGTATTGGCCTGAATATAAGCCTCACTTTCCCCCCCAATTCTGACCATGAAACATTAAAGTGCGGCTTACATTCATGACCTTATGGTGTGCAGCCAGGAGCGCAGCAAAGCGGCGCCGGCCCCGCGCGTAGTCCTCTATCCTCTCCCCCAAGGCCAGGAAGGGGGAGAGCAAAGACTGGGAACGGCTGCCGGCAATGCAGCGTCCGTCCCCCCCCCCCCCAGTATGCAGCCAGTAGCACCAAGGAATGGAGCGGCTTATATTCGGGTATTTTTTCTTTTTTTCTTCCCCCCCCCCACTCCAATTTTACAGGTGCAGCTTATATTCACGTGCAGCTTATATTCGGGCCAATATGGTAAATATCAGAAGTCACCGTTATGGTTTGATTTTAATTATTTTAGTGCCAGTAGCCAGAAGAGTGCTTGTGCAGTGGTACCTCGGGTTACATACGCTTCAGGTTACATACGCTTCAGGTTACAGACTCTGTTAACCCAGAAATAGTGCTTCAGGTTAAGAACTTTGCTTCAGGATGAGAACAGAAATCGTGCTCCGGCGGCACGGCGGCAGCAGGAGGCCCCATTAGCTAAAGTGGTGCTTCAGGTTAAGAACAGTTTCAGGTTAAGAACAGACCTCCGGAATGAATTAAGTACTTAACCTGAGGTACCACTGTACTGTGACACCAGGGAACAATGTGGAATGCTGGCTTTGCATTTTCACGCAGCTGACACTTCTATATTTACATTTCATTTATTTACCTTTCGGGGCAGATGGAAACTGGATCTGGCTTGTTTTGCCCGCCGCATTGCACTTGCATTCGGCTGGCCTCCCACACGCCGCCCTCAGCTGAACTCCACTCCACCAAATACAATTTACTTCAGTGATCAAACAGCACATCCAGCCTGCACACATTTTCAAAGGCCATGGATGCGAACCTGAAAATTTACCCTGCTCCGTTTGTAAACAAGAGTCATGCTTAACATCCACCTATTCTCAGCACACGGACTGATGTTCAATTCAAAGCGAACCCTGCGTTTGCCCAGCAGTTTGTCACCTCGTGCCAAAAATTCATCAGTACCATCCTAAAACTATTTTCAGCTGTTTTTATTATATGTTTGCAGATCGCGTTGACACGTATGGAGAAGACGCCTTGCATATTCATAAAGAATAAAATATAATATTGCATACCCTCTGTTTCTCCTCTGATGAAAATAGGGATGTCCCATTCCATAATGATAATTTTACTATTTATAACCCTGCACGTGTTACTTGGTTGCTCCAGCCACTCTGAGCAGCTTCCAACATATATGCAAACATAATAAAGCATTAATCATTTTTTTAAAAACTTCCATAAACAGGATTGCCTTCAGACAGCTTGGGGTCAGATAATTCCATACCCTCCAACATTTCTCCAGTGAAGATAGGGACATCCTAAGGAAAAGTAGGACCTTCCGGGATCACATCAGAAACCGGGACGGCTTCTCTAAATCAGGGACGTCCCTGGAAAATAGGGCTACTTCGATGGTCTGATATTATACATTTTATCATTTGGCAAGATGTTGGGTTGAGGCTATAAAAGGCCTCACCCCACACCTTCTGGCCATCTTAAAGCATAATATAGAGCTAGCCAATGTGGGGCCCTCTTGATGTCGGACTACAATTCCCATCATCCCTTATGCTGTCTGGGAGTGATGGGATTTCGTCAGTGGAAAGAGGGAGGACATAAGAACAGGCTAACCTTTCCTTTGCACGGCCGACTATGAGACATTTAGGTTCCCTTTGTTTCTATATTTGCTCACCCCTTTATTGCATTGCCTTAAATTTTAGCAGAGCCTTAGCCTCTCTCATCAGTACAGCACTGTATGAGTTAGGCCAGTACAATTTCAGGTGGTCCCTACACCAATCCTCAATAGAGTTTCTCAAGTTCAGTAGCACCTTAAAGGCTTAACAGGCTTAGCCATTGCATCTCATGACAGTGGAATCCAATCCGTGAAAGCTGATGCGGGGATAAATCTTGTTATTCTTTAACTTGCCGCAAAACTCTTGGTTGAGTTTAAAGATCAGCCGTGAGATGGATCAAAAGTCAACTTAGCAGCTTCCTATCATCGTGATACATTTCCAGTGCAGACAAGTGCCGATGTTTACATAACAACAAAAGCATTCAAAAGACTTATTTCCTGGGAAGAAAGCCATTCTTTCTCTGCAGAACCACTTTTTGCCGCCTAGTGGACACTCTTTATTATAGCAGCAGAAGAGTATTTTGTTGATTTTTAACTGGAACTTGTTTTTGGTGCTGGCCATGGATCATAGTGTAGTACCTTTAGAACAACATTTACAAAACCTGGTGATCCTATTGTCAAGAAAGAATTCCGTTTGGCTTCCTTTCAGTTCATCCCAGATTGCATCCTGCATATAGCTCTGTCTTTAACAGCATTTCTTGGCTACCCTAGACCAGGGATAGGGAAACTCAGACTTGGAGGCTAAATGCAGCCCTCCAGACGGGCTCTCCCCCTCTGACATCATAGCTCTCCCAGTGACATTAGTGATGTCATTGTCATCAAACTGCCATTCCATGTCCCTGCTCCCACTTTATCCAGATTTATCCTTTCTGGAGGAAACCCAATAATTTTTTAGAAATCCGTAACCGGAAGAACAGAGATACGATTCACCTTAATCAATAGCTTGACATCATGACAACATTGGCAGCATATGAATGGACAACTTATAGATGCAGACTTTCTTTGGATAAATGCAATGCTATCTGGAATGACTTTACACAGAATATATTAGCTTATTGAAAAGTATATGTATATTGGGATAAGAGGAATATGCGTATCTGTATATTAATGTATGGTAAGGTAGCAGTATCGGGGGTTTTTTTCTTTCTCATTCACTCTTTTTTCCCCCCTCACTCTACTTATAAATGAAACTTTCTTAATAAAATATTAATTAAAAATGGTAATTAAAAAAAAATATCTGTGGCCAAAAATTCTTTTGCAATATCTGAACTATGCATTGACAGTATTAAGACTCCATCTGGAAGCCCAGTTGATAATTTTTCCTTATGATCCTGGAACCTTACGGTTTTTTAAACCACTCAAATGTCTTTTTAGCTGGAGTGTCTTTAGTTGCATGTTGTATTGTGAGGGCTATGTAGTTGTAACGCACCAGAAGCAGCATAACCTCAAAAAATGTGGTTGCCCTCAAATGTGCCTGTATCGTCTTTCCCCCACAGATTAAAATTAACCCTTTAAAATCATCTCGACCTTTGCAGCACAGTCTAATGCACATTTTCCTGAAAGTAAATCTCCACTTAGTGTGGAATATTTTTAGAAAGGGGTGGGAAGGGCAGGATTTAGATTTGATGAGGCCCTAAGCAGGCATCCACAAACCCGACCCTCCAGCTGTTTTGGGACTACAGTTCCCATCATCCCTGACCACTGGTCCTGTTAGCTGGGGATGATGGGAGTTGTAGTCCCAAAACAGCTGGAGGGCTGAGTTTGGGTATGCCTGCTCTAAGCTACTGAAGGTAATGGGGCCCTTTATATGTCCAGCTGTCCTTTGTCAACAACAAATTGTCTCTGTTTTTTGTGTTGAATATATGCTATATGGTAATTTATGGAACTACAGTGGTACCTCGGGTTAAGTACTTAATTCATTCTGGAGGTCCGTTCTTAACCTGAAACTGTTCTTAACCTGAAGCACCACTTTAGCCAATGGGGCTTCCCGCTGCCGCCGCGCCACCACTGCACAATCTCTGTTCTCATCCTGAAGCAAAGTTCTTAACCTGAGGCAATATTTCTGGGTTAGTGGCGTCTGTAACCCGAAGCGTATGTAACCCGAGGTACCACTGTAATAGGTATCTAAAGCCATTTGCACATGCAGAATGTAGGCACCCTATATATAGAAATGAGCAAACCAGTGATATTTTAGGGAGCAGGCTAGCAGGCGGGGCCCATTACTTAGAGGAGCCTACACAACACAAAACACTGTTGCTGTATGTAGGTTTTCTTTTATTTGTTTTTTATCTTATATTTTCGAAATGTACATCCAGTTTTTCCCCCTTTATTTTTTTTTGGTGGGCCCAAGAATGTGGGACCCTAAGCTATAGCTTGTTTAGCTTATATGTAAATCCAGCACTGGGGGTGGAGAGGCAGGAAGGGCCAGTTCAGTAAGAGAGCATATGCTTGGCACACAGAAGGTCTCAGATTCAATTTCTCATGTCTCTAGGAAAGACTCCTGACCTGAAACATTGGAGAGTCACCGCTAGTCAGTATTTGACAGTACTGAGCCAGCTGGATCAGTGATCTGACTTGGGATAAAGCAGCTTCCTCTGTTCCTATGAATACAGCCTTACGGCGTTGTCCTGTGCATTCTTACTCAGAAGTAAGTCCCGCTGTGTTAAATGGGACTTTCTCCCAGCTCAGCATCCTCAGAATTGCAGCTGTGGTTGGTTAATCTCCCTATGCAACCAATTACAGCTTGCATCCCTAGCTTTAAGCTTAAAGATCAACTTTATGTTACTCCAGAGGGAAATTGAACAAAACAGTAACCTGCATTTAAAGTAAAATTAAAAGAAAGCTCGCTGCCCGGCTTCTCGTTTTAATTAAACTTGTGCTCATACAAGACATGCATAAGTGCAAGTTGTGTGGTTTCCTTGGCATGGTCGCTGCTCTGAGTAAATACACCGTAATATTATTTTGTTTACTTTCCCCTCCTTTCCAGATTTTTGTATTTTCCTTACCACTCTGTGTGGCTTGCTTCAGTTTTGGCAACTAGACAAATGACACGAGGGTTGAAGAAGTTCAGGATATATATATATATATATATATATATATATATATATATAATCACAGATAAGTCATAATGGTTCAACTTTTAGCAACCAGGAAACACACACAAATGTGAGAGCCACTGAAATAAATATCGTCAAGGCCTTATTGTACTGCTGCTGACGCCTTCACCTACCAGGCGAGTAACATCGTGTTACAAAATTTGGGTGCCACCCCCCATTCACTGCCAAGCAATAGCAAGATCTCAGGGAGATCCAGGCACTCGCCCAGGATCCGTGTTCCTTTGGAGAACTGAGGCACGATGGAGACTGTCATAACTTGAAGAACTATGGTTTATTCCCTTATTTACACCTTCAGTCTGCATGGAGGGAGATTTTGTTTATTTATTTATAACCCACATTTTCCCCTGACAGGGACTCAAGGTGGCTTACAAATTAAAAATAAGGAAAACATAGGAAAAGCCATCATTTAAGAAAAAAACACCAATTAAACATGGATAGAATTAAAAGATGCAAGACTACTTATAGAAACAGGTCCCTGAAACTGGGATTATATACCCTTACATTCTGCTACATGTTTTCTGCATAAAAGGGGGGGGGGCTTATACCTACCCTTTTACCCTAGGAATGCTTCCAGTATCCATTCATTTATGGTAGGTCATTATCTGGGGGGGGGGGGGGAATAAATAGAAATTTATAAAAGCAAAATTTTCATAGAGCTCTTTTGTGTGGTCTTGTAAGTTCTTTGTAGCACTAGAACTGTAGAATATTGCACTCATTTATCACGATTACTACAATAAAAGGGAAATTTCTCAGGATACAGGCAAGGAAGTTACAAAGATATACATACTGTCAGGTAGGGTGGTTAACTTTAAGATGTCTCAATTATTTTGTTTTAAAAGTCTGCACGAAAGACAATGCAGATTGTAACATATCTGCATTGTAAAAATAAAAAGGTAAAATACCCCTGGATGGTTAAGTCCAGTCAAAGGCGACTATCAGGTTGCGGTGCTCATCTTGCTTTCAGGCCGAAGGAGCCGGCGTTTGTCCACAGACAGCTTTCCGGGTCATGTGGCCAGCATGACTAAACCACTTCTAGCGCAACGGAACACTATGATGGAAGCCAGAGCGCACGGAAACGCCGTTTACCTTCTTACCGCAGTGGTACCTATTTATCTACTCACGCTGGTAGGCTTTCAAACTGCTAAGTTGGCAGAAGCTGGGACAGAGCAACGGGAGCTCACCCCGTCAAGGGGATTCGAACCACTGGCCTTCTCATCGGCAAGCCCGAGAGGCTCAGTGGTTTAGACCACAGTGCCTCCAGCACCTGCATTATAACACATGCAGAGATCACATCTTACAACAAGAGGGGCTTGTCTGTGACTGCATTGAGCCCTCTTCTGCCTCTCTTTACGCCTCTCAGTAACCCCTACCACCCTGCCAGCAACAGAGTTTGCTGGATCAGGCCAATGACCCATCTAACCCAGCATCCTGCTCTCGTGAGCACAGGAACACCATCTCCTCCTGTGGTTTTCCAGCAACTGGTATTCAGAAGCCTTTCTGCCTCCAGCCAAGAGGGAGAGCATAGCTATCAAGGCTAACCATTGAGAAAATAATTTCATTTTGACTGAGAATTGCTTAATGCTGCTGCTGCTGCTTCTTTGCTTTTTTAAAAAGTAATTAGAAAAAGACTTCTGGCCCTTTAATTCAAAGTTTGCATAGGGTCTGTTCTGAGTCACCAAGTCTCTGCAACAACCTCGCTGTAGCCTCTTTATTGGCATTTACTGACATGCCACCCACCTTGAACTCCAAATGTGGATCCAAAGATTGCTGAGCTGTGAACACGGTATTTGTGTAACTCTGCCAGTATTGTAACCGCCCATATAACCTCAGGAGAATCAAAGCAAAACCATGCTGAAACGTTCAAAAATAGCTTGAACACCACCATTGAATAAGAGGATGTTCACTGGCTTCTGAATCCAGACCTTTAGAAACACATTTCCTAGAAAAGCCAAGGAAACTTTTCTTGCTTGGCCTCTAGATGGAAGGTTTAGTACTTTTAAGAGGAAATTGTCGTTGTCGTCGTCGATTAAATAGATATTGCTCTTCATCAGAAGGCCACAGGACAGTTTACAACAAACAACACAAATGTCATAATACCTCTGCATCATAGAAATCAAAACTATTATATAAATATAATAAGGAATACATAATAAAATAGAAATTCTTGTAACAGCAGCAGGATAAAAAGAGGAGAAAATTGTTGTTTTTGTTGTTGTTTATTAAATCTGTTTACTGCCCTATACCCACAGGTCTCAGGGCAGTTCACAGGATAAAATCACAGCATAAAAACATGAAATACGCAATCAAAATATAAACAAAAATCAGAAACCTGGTATCAAAAGACAGCACACAAATACAGTACAGTGGTACCTCGGGTTAAGTACTTAATTCGCTCCGGAGGTCCATTCTTAACCTGAAACTGTTCTTAACCTGAAGCACCACTTTAGCTAATGGGGCCACTTGCTGCCGCCGCGCTACAGGAACACGATTTCTGTTCTTATCCTGAAGCAAAGTTCTTAACCTGAAGCACTATTTCTGGGTTAGCGGAGTCTGTAACCTGAAGCGTATGTAACCTGAGGTACCACTGTATCTTCTCTCAAAGGTAGCTGGCTATCCTGGCCACCCACAGAAAATGGCAGGCCCTCCCAGAACTCACCTGGGCTCTTTCCTTTTTTCTTCCTGTCCCTCACCCTGGGAGATCTTTGCTTCCCTGCCTCTCACTCAGGGTCCTTCGCTAAATTAAAGACTGTCGTGTTTGTCTTTGCTTCATCTCTCTGGAGCATGTGTGTTTGCTTTTAAAGTTTGGGACAAATCTGGTTTACAAACTAGGTTTTAATTTCTCAGAGACGGAGAGGGCCCACTGTTTCTTGGTCCTAGAATCCTTTAATGTGTGGCCTGATATCCGCAGCATTTGGGAGGTCCTCAGTCAGCCTGCAATCTACAAAGTGTCCTTGCGGAATCAATAAAGGTATTTCCCAGCTGTGGATTCTGTAATTCGGCTATAATTCTGCCATGTTTCTTTTGCATTCTTCAGTGCACGGAGTGGCCCTTCAGATTTTACCATTGGAACCTGCAACAAAATGTTACATTGAGGAGTGTTCCCTGCCCTAGACTCCATCCCATTCACACACACCATTCTGTGGCCACTGCACACACTCAGCCGTTATTGTGCTGTGCTGTTTTCTTCGCCTCTCCTTTTACGGTTACCCCCCAATGCTATTTTTGTACTTCTGCAAACATCAGAGGCCCTACTCACCCAAGCCTCCCTTCTCTGAGTGGGTGGTACCGTGGTGGTGCCATAGAAGAACGGCAATCACAGCCAGAACACCAGAAAGAGATTATTTCTTTCTCCACTGCATCGGCTGTCGCCATCTGATAGGTCAGGCTAAGAGCAATATATTTTTCCAAAGCCACCGAGTGAGTTTCATGGCTGAAAGGGGACTTAGCCTTGAGTCTTCCATATTCCACACTGGATGGCCCATGTCCTGCCACAGTACATCACGTCAGATGAATGCCATTGTCCTCCAGAGTTGCAGGAAGTTCCTGCAGCCAGTCAGATGTCGCAGAAGCCCCGTTGGATGTTCAGCTTCCAAAAATAGTTCGCAAACTGGAACAGTCACTTTACAACATTCAGGAGCCAAAACGTTAGGGAACTTACAGTAAGCTGTTCGACTGCATCTGTTTCCATCCTTTTTCCCCAGAGTTGCTGAAAAATTTGTGATGGTGTGAGTCCAAGTGTGTATGTGCCTCTGTTCGGGTACCACTCTGTGTTTCCAGGACAATGGCTATGAGCAGCTGCCTGCCTGGTGCTACTCTTTGCAGAACATTGGGGAAGGAAAAACCATTCATCCTTTCAGATGTCTCTGAACACATGGCATGCCTGCCATGTATTTCATGAGAGAATTCCTATCCCCTAACTTTTGTTCTTTCCGAAAAACCAAAAAACCTTCCACATTTCTGGAATATGACAGGCCGCGAAGGCTTATTCAATCCTCTGACATACAATACAGCCATTCAACACCAAAATATCAAGAGGCCATGTTCCTCTCAACCTCCCCCACAAATGAATACATGCATGCACACATTCCTGCAGCTTTCAGAAGGCAGTTGGTAAAGGAATCAGAGTGTTCAGCGTCTTTGAAGGGATTCACATTTTCCCAGCTGTTTGTGCTGTTGCAGCTACAAACAGGATTTCCTGTTCTGTTCCAAGCCTGAGGCTGAAGGGACCCTCACATGCAGGGCCAGGCATAGGGAATATATTTGCACCATCCTTTGCTAACTCCTTATACTACGGTGGGCAGGGGTTACTGTTCAGTGATAGAGCATCTGCTTTGAATGCAGAAGGTCTCAGGTTCAATCCCTGGCATCTCCAGGTAAGGCTGGGAATGCCCCCCACACACACCTGAAAGCATGGAGAGGTGCTTCCAGTCCATGTGGACAATACTGAGCTAGATGGACCAATGGTCTGACTCGGTATAAGGCAGCTTCCTAGGTTCCTATAGCTGTCGGCTGATCCTAATGGGTTTTATACTGTGTACTGTTGCTCTTGGGTGGGGGTTATATGCCATAGAGGGAGGGTCTGCATCAAGAGGGCCAGATCCCTGCCCTATGACGATCCTACCATTTACACAAAACTATGAACCATAAGGAGACAGGTCATGTTGCCACTTGGCCCAGCAGAGGCCACCATGTTGCTTATGTGTGGTGTAGTGGTTCAGAGTGGCAGTCTTGTAATCTGGTGAACCGGGTTCGATTCCTCGCTCCTCCACATGCGGCTGCTGGGTGACCTTGGGCTAGTCACACTTCTCTGAAGTCTCTCAGCCTCACTCATCTCAGAGTGTTTGTTGTGGGGGAGGAAGGGAAAGGAGATTGTTAGCCACTTCGAGACTCCTTTGGGTAGTGATAAAGCGGGATATCAAATCCAAACTCTTTTTCTTCTGTTTGGTATTTACGGTTTTGTACAGTAAAATCATGTTGCCTTATGAGAGAAACATTACGCAGTACATTTCTTTTGTCCTGCTGCCCTACCATTTCTGTACACGTCAGACAAAAGTGTAAAACATGGCTACCAAGGGGCGTAGCTAGCTGCTCCGGCACCTGGAGCGGCAGGGGCAGGGTGAGCCACCCATGGGGGTACTGCGGTGATCCGCCCGGGGGGTGCTGTGGCGAGCTGCCAACAAAATCTGCCTGGCAGACGCAAGCCCCACGCTGCCATTTCTGGCAGCGCGAGGCCCAAAGCCACCGCGTCACTCCCAGGAGAGACGCGTGGCTCAGGCGTGCTGCAGGTCAGGCCCCACGGTAAGTGCCGCTCCTGCAGTGTGCTATTTTGTCACCCCCTCAGGGATGACACCTGGGGCGGACCGCACCCCCACCCCTTCCTATGCCCCTGATGCTGACTCCTCCACGTATAGGCAGCAATTCCAAAGGCCACGTAGACCCTTGGAAATATATTTCAATGACAATGGATTGAAAAGAAATGAGATGGGGTGATGGATTCCACCCCAGCATGGATTGCAGCTACTGTTAGTAAATGTACGAGTACTGTTAGACGTGCACTCAGCCCCTGCTATAAAGATTTCTGCCAGAATCTTCTGTATTCTTCTCTTAGCATATCTAGGTTTTCCTGCTTCACAAAATCCAATGGGGGGGGGTTACTCTCAGGAGTACTCTTATAGTTCTGCCAGATGGCCTGTTTAGTCAACACTCATTGTGTGCACAAAGCTTATGCAGTGGTTAGATAATACCTGGTTTTTGTTGTGCATCCACTCTGATTTGTTCACAGGGCAGCCATTCGGCAATTCTTTCTCCTCCTCCTCCTCCTCCTCCTCCTCCTTATTCTTATTAATAATTGCATTAATATCCCAACTTTTTCTCCAAAAAGCTACATGGTTTCCCCATTCCTCATTTAATCTCCACAACAACCCTGTGAGGTAGATCAGACTAAGAGGCAGAGGCTGGCCCAAGGTCACAGTCTAACCATTACACCACAGACCTTCCCATTAGTCATTTGGACATCGATGGGTTTTTCTGTCAGTTTGAAAACCGTAACAAGGCCAAGCTTTTGTTTTTAAGTAGATTTGTTGTGCTAGGGTGACACAGAGCTTGGGTCCACAAAACTAAAGTTCTGGTATGCTCTTGAGCCTCCTCACAAAACACTGGCAGAGACACCCTTTAGTCAAAATAGAGCATGTGGAGGTTTTTCCTAGTCACCAGGAAACGTCCCAAGTGACTCATATGAGAGAGAGTGACGCAAATAATTGAAATGGTCCTTCATTTTAACAAATACTGAGCCACCTATCATATAATACAATGGCCCAGAAACTGCCATTAGTAACAATTACAACCAAAAGAAATGTCAAGGGGAAAGCTCTCTGTCATAGAACTGCCATGAGACTTCCTTGAAAAATAATTTATGGCCATCATTTTAATCAAGATTATTGAGAAGTTATGATTTAAAGTGTGTTTTTAAAGCAATTTAACTGAATGCTTGAAAGTCGAAGGGGTTTCTTATTATTATTTTCCCCCATGATCATATCTCAAAGAATGTTATAGCTTTCCCAATATACAGTATATAATTGTATTTATAATATATCTAACCCATTTCGGTGAAGGCCGAAATGTATGATGACTCAAGAGCAAACCCCTGGCAGTAATCCCAGATTTAGGTTTTATAAAATGATTCAACTTTCTGGCTCCTATGGCTAGAAGCAAAGCACCAAGCCAGGAAGAAAAAGAGAGAGAGAGAGAGAGAGAGAGAGAGAGAGAGATGTTTAATTTCAGATTGACTCCAAGGCTGCTGCTATGGAGGTGTTAACATAACACTTCTAACATTTCTTGAGGTGTTAATGCTGTGAACCCCTCCATCATAGGCTCAGGTTGTATATATGTGTAAATAAACTATATATTATAAAGACACCACAGTCTCCACTGCACCATTCCCAAAGGAAACACAGACCTCCGAAATGTTGCACCGCTCAGAGACTGGGGTAGCATGCAACGTTATGTTTCCAGTGTGACCCTGACTGCCAGTGGTCAATAGTAATTGTTGTTTTTGTTGTTGTTGTTGTTTCAGAAGTTGTCTGAACTACTCCAGAAAACTGAGTATGTGGGAACCATTAATTTCTGCAAGATTTTGTTCTGTAATCATGATTGCCCATGTTTTTCAACTGGTGCTTTCTGTATTACTATCACAACACACTCCTGGGATTCTCAGTGCACAAAAAAACCTCATCGAGGTAATATAATGATGTCAAGATGAAACGCTGTCAGTGCCTAGCTATAAAGATGACATAAGGGTGTCAGAAATGAAAGGGAATTATATCAATGTGTGTTGTACAGCCACTCAACAAATTGTAAAAATAGGAAAGGCTCCACAATTTAGGGCACTGCTTTGTTATGACAGACATGCTCAAACATCTTTAAAGAGAGAGAGAGAGAGAGAGAGAGAGAGAATGCCATTTTCCAGCAGCCAAATAGTTCTCTTTCCCACCCCTTGCAAATAGATCCATCAAAAAAAAAATCATATCTCAAATGGATATACTTTTTGGCACAGGACAGTAGAGTGCATTTTTAAATTTTCTTAAAGAATATCTCACCCAATTTTCAGCCTGTTCATGCCTTTTTGTTTCTTCCTCAAGATGTCCTTTTAAGGTCTGTGATTCATTTTAAAGATAATGGTCACCTTTCCTTTGGGGCTAGATGAAAAGATGCATAAAGCAAAAGCCCCACTACATTCAGTTTCTTCTGTGAAAGGCGCGGAAGTTGCCTTTCACAGAGATAAAATGACACTCTATCCTTAGCGAAAGACGATATTGGCATTGTTGGCAGGATCAATCTCCGCCTGTCATTCCTCTAGTGTTCTCCTTACCGGTGTTCACAAATACTTAGAAAAACTGACACCCTCAGAGGGGTGGGGGGTGGGGAATCTCAGTGTGCTTCAATCACCCAATTATAGATTTCAGCACAATACCGAACATCATGGATGATCAGTATTGTTCAGCGGCAGAAAAGAATTCTGACAGGATGATTTATAAATATGGAGGCCTCAACCTCCCCAGTGTATTTAAATGGTCTAACTCCTTGGAAACATGCTAAAATGAATAAAAATTATGTGTCTCTTGCAAAATCGTTTAAAGGGGGGTGGGTTGGGTTGTAGCCTTCAGTTTTTGAAGAACAATCTGCTTTCAAGAAGTTTCCCAAACCATGCTGAATAGATCAGAATCAATAGGATCGTTCAACTTTATTTGCCGCACGTATGCGATTCTGCTGACTCCCTTTATAAAGTATGAACATTTACAAAATGTTGTTTAAGTACGACGTGTTGCTTATATGCCTGTATCTAGGAGAGGTGGGTGAAGCTCAATTCCAGCAAGATGGAGGCATAAGGTCCAGCAAGATGGAGGGATAAGGTCAATAGGAGGTGTCCAATCTGTTCTGGAAAGGGTTCTATCCCCACTAAAACAAGGCTGAGGACCTCCAGGTGTGGTCCTCCAGGTGGATTTGCAGCTCTCTTCATCCTCATCCATAACTGCTGGTGATCAGGGATGGTGGGTGGTTGAAGTTCAACATCATTTGGAGGGTATCAGGGTGGCTATCCTTGGATTACACTGGCCACATCCAGATGTTCCACTAAACCAAGGGTAGCCAACATGGTGCCTTTTGGATGCTGCTGGACTGCAAACCCCATCACCACCAGCCAGTTGTAGTCTGACATCTGGAAGGCAGTCTTGGGGGTGATCAGATGCAAAGGAAGTTGGGGAGCTTGTACCTAATATATGCTGTTGTGTTGTTTTGCCATTTATTTTTTATTGCTTTTCCCATTTTTATAAAATGAATTAACATCAAATTAGTTTGAATTTAGTACAAATTTTACAGTTGACTTCCCACCCTACTGCCATAATGCTTTACTACCCAGCCTTATTTGCAGCTCAATATTACACACATTTCCAAATTACATTTTTTAAATAAAAAAACAACAACATATTTTAGCATGTTTAGGGAAGTTTTAATATTTAATGTTGTATTGTTTTTAACACTCGATTGGGAGCCGCCCAGAGTGGCTGAGGCAACTCAGCCAGATGGGTGGGGTATAAATAAATTATTATTATTATTATTATTATTATTATTATTATTATTATTATCTTATCCTTAATTTTTTCTATTTTCCTCTTATTGCTGTTGTGTTTTTGTATACTCTGTTGGAAGCCACCAAGAGTGGTTGGATGTCAGAGGAGGAATGGTGGAGACTGTCTCCCCAACCTGACCCTTACGGAGAAGAAGACAGTTCAGAATTACAACAGGGATTTGAGGGAGATCACAGCTCAGAGGCAGATGAGGGGGAAAGCTGGGTAATAATGGGAGAGGAGGCGGACG